GCCCAAGCACTTGGGCCATCCTCCACTGCACTCCCTGGCCACAGCAGAGAGCTGGACTGGAAGAGGGGCAACCGGGACAGAATCCGGCGCCCCGACCGGGACTAGAACCTGGTGTGCCAGCGCCGCAAGGCGGAGGATTAGCCTAGTGAGCTGCGGCGCCAGCTGGTTGTTCTTTTTAAAAACCTGTTGCTGTCATCTTTCCTTATTTGTTTTTATTTGAAAAGCAGAGAGAGAGAGAGAGAGAGAGAGAGAGAGAGAGATCTTCCATCTCCTAGTTCATTCCCCAAATGGCCACAACAACAACCCAGGTTGGGCTAGGCCAAATCTGGAAGTGAGGAACCCCATCTGGGTCTCCCACATGGGTACAGGGAGCCAGGTACTTGAACTGTCACTGCTACCTCCCAGGATGTGCATAAACAGGAAGCTGGAACAGCCAGGACTTGAACCAGGCACTCTGATATAGGATCAGGCGTCTCGAGAGGCATGTTAATCATACCCCAAGCACTCCACCTCTGTCTGCTCCTTTATCTTCTTTAGCGTTCTCTTTTCTCTTTCCTAGCCCACAGGTTGATAAACCGTGGCCCACGGGCCAGATCCTGCCCTCTGCCTGTTTTCCTAAATAAAGTTTTATTGGAACCCAACCACACTCATTTGCTTATATTTCACCTCTGGAGGCTTCCATGCTATGAGCGCAGAGCTGAGTCATTGTAACAGAAGCATATGACCCCCACAGCCAAAGATACTTATTATTCTTTACAGAAGAAGTTTAGCAATTCCTGTGTGAGCGGCCCCTCATGAGGACAACACCCCGTGTTAATTAGTAGTTCTTTATATTAAATCTTCCCTATTCAGATTACTGTGAGGTCTCTCTCCTGAGGTGAACAGAGTCAGGTTCATCCCAACCCCCTATGGCCCCTTTTTCGCAGTCCATTTTCAGGTCCTCCTTCTTCTATTTTTTTTTTTTTTTTTGACAGGCAGAGTGGACAGTGAGAGAGAGAGAGAGAGAGAGAGAAAGGTCTTCCTTTGCCGTTGGTTCACCCTCCAATGGCCCCTGCAGCTGGCGCACTGTGGCCGGCGCACCGCGCTGATCCGAAGGCAGGAGCCAGGTGCTTCTCCTGGTCTCCCATGGGGTGCAGGGCCCAAGCACTTGGGCCATCCTCCACTGCACTCCCGGGCCACATCAGAGAGCTGGCCTGGAAGAGGGGCAACCGGGACAGAATCCGGTGCCCCGACCGGGACTAGAACCTGGTGTGCTGGCGCCGCTAGGCAGAGGATTAGCCTAGTGAGCCACAGCGCCGGCCTCTTCTGCCTATTTTACAGCATCAGTCCTCCTCAGACTCTTCCCTTTGCTTTCTGGAATGGTCTCTCTAAGCATCTACTTATCAGTGTTCAACTACTGGGCTTAACCAATGGCTTTTTGTTCTGTGGATAACTCCAATGTGTCAATAAACCACCTGAAGTTACATACAAAGTTCCTGTAGAGAAGCAAATGTGCATGTTTTGGAATAAGGTATTTTGCTTCATTGTTTTAACGATTTTTATTTATTTGAAAGTCAGAGTTACAAAGAGAGAGACAGAGATCTTCCATCCACTGGTTCACACTCCCCAAATGGCTGCAACAGTCTGGGCGGGAAACCAGGAGCCAAGAGTTTCATCTGGGTCTCCCCCACAGGTGCAGAGGCCCAAGCACTTGGGTCATCTTCAGCTGCTTTCCCAGGCACATTAGCAGGGAGCTGGATTGGAAATGGAAAAATTGGGGGCTGGCACCGCGGCTCACAAGGCTAATCCCCCCGCCTTGCAGCGCCAGCATACCTTCTGCATACCCTAACCCTAACCCTAACCCTAACCCTAACCCTAACCCTAATCCTAACCCTAACCCTAACCCTAGGGACAGCATCGGGGCGCCGGATGCTGTCCCGGTTGCCCCTCTTCCAGGCCAGCTCTCTGCTGTGGCCCGGGAGTGCAGTGGAGGATGGCCCAGGTGCTTGGGCCCTGCACCCCATGGGAGACCAGGATAAGTACCTGGCTCCTGCCATCGGATCAGCGCGGTGCACCAGCCGCAGCACGCCAGCCGTGGCAGCCATTGGAGGGTGAACCAACGGCAAAGGAAGACCTTTCTCTCTGTCTCTCTCTCTCACTGTCCACTCTGCCTGTCAAAAATAAAAATAAAAATAAAAAAAAAATTGGGATTTGAAGCAACGCCCATATGGGATGCCACGTCAGAGGTGGGTCCCTGCTTCATCTCTCTCTCTCTCTCTCTCTCTCTCTCTCTTTTTTAAGAATCATTTTTTATTTATTTGAAAGGCAGAGAGAGGTCTTCCATCTACTGGTTCACTCTCCAAATGGCCACAAGGGCCAGGTCTGGGCCTGATCAAAGTCAGGAGCCTGGAGCTTCTTCCAGGTCTCCCCCATGGGTGCAGGAGCCCAAGGACTTGGGTCATCTTCTGCTGCTTTCCCAGGTGCATTAACAGGGAACTGGATCGGAAGTAGCAGCTGGGTCTTGAATCAATGCCCATATGAAATGCTGGTGTCGCAGATGGAGGCTTAACCTACTACACCACAAAGCCAGCCCCTACTACATCTTTCTTTTTTTTTTTTTCTAGGATTTATTTATTTATTTGAAAGTCATAGTTACACAGAGAGAAAAGGAGAGGCAAAGAGGGAGAGAGAGAGAGAATGAGAGAGGCCTTTCATCCATTGGTTCCCTCCCCAATTGGCTGCAATGGCTGGAGCTGTGCCGATCCGAAGCTAGGAGCCCTGGGACTTGAGCCATCCTCCACTGCTTTCTCAGGCCATAGCAGAGAGCTGGATCAAAAGTGGAGCAGCCAGGACTCGAACCAGTGTCCATATGGGATGTCAGCACTGCAGGTGGCAGCTTTACTTGCTACGCCACAGTGCCAGCACCTACTTCATCTAAAAAAAAAAAAAAATATATATATATATATATATTGTATTAGAAAGCCAGAAAGAGGGGCCGGCGCCGTGGCTCACTTTGTTAATCCTCCACCTGCTGCACCAGCATCCCATATGGGTGCTGGGTTCTAGTCCCAGTTGCTCCTCTTCCAGTCCAGCCCTCTGCTGTGGCCCGGGAAGGCAGTGGAGGTTGGCCCAAGTGCTTGGGCCCCTGTACCCGCTTGGGAGACCGGGAAGAAACACCTGGCTCCTGGCTTTGGATTGGCGAAGCGCCAGCCGTGGTGGTCATTTCGGGGGTGAACCAACGGAAGGAAGACCTCTCTCTCTGTCTCTCTCTCACACTGTGTGTAACTCTGTCAAATAAATAAACAACATCAAAAAAATCTTTAAAAAAAAAAAGTCAGAAAGAGAGGGAGAGAGAGAAACCGATTGACAAACACCCAGCTCCCCGTGTGTTGGTTTACTCCCTAAATGCCTACAATGGCCAGGACTGGGTAAAGGCTGAGACTAGGAGCCAGGAATGCACTGCAGGTCTCCTACAGGGCTGCAGGAACCCACTTGGGCCATCACTGCTGCCTCCCAGGGTCCACATTAGCAGTTAGGAATCAAACAAGGCACTCTGATGTGGGACATGGGTGTCCCAATCACTAGGTTAAATGCCTTCTCCCTACGGCTTCATCCTTTGGCAATATGGCTTAGTAGTTAGGGCACAGACCCTGGTGACAGACAACCTGCCTAAGTCTGCCATTGTGACTGGACTAACTTGCTTAAGCTCACTGTGCCTAATAAAACAAGGGAAAAGCAGAATGCCTTCTTCACCCCACTGTCATGGTGATAAAGCGAGTTAAAATATGTAAAGCACTTGGACAGGATCTGGCACATAAAAAGCATTATACAGGGGTTGGTATCGTTACCATCTCTGGCTCTCACTCTTGCCCTTAGATCCCAGCTGTTGCTCTACCAAACCTGCCTTCTCTGCGCCCTCAAGGGGCTCTTTGCTCGGAGCACTCTTGCCTTGTGCGTTCCTTGTCCACTAATTTCTGAGCTTGCCCCTGGCCTCAGCTCAAATGCTGTTTTCTCTAAGAAGCCTATCCTGAACTCTGGACCGGGAGAGCCCTGCTGTAACTGCCAAAGCTTTCTGTTGCCCCTTTTTTTTTTTTTTTTTGACAGACAGAGTTAGACAGTGAGAGAGAGAAAGAGAGTCAGAAAGGTCTTCCTTTCTGTTGGTTCACCCCCCAAATGGCTGCTACGGCCGGCGCGCTGCACCGATCTGAAGCCAGGAGCCAGGTGCTTTCTCCTGGTCTCCCATGCGGGTGCAGGGCCCAACCACCTGGGCCATCCTCCATTGCCTTCCTGGGCCACAGCAGAGAGCTGGACTGGAAGAGAAGCAACCCAGACAGAATCCGGCGCCCCAACCGGAACTAGAACCCTGGGTGCCGGTGCCGCAGGTGGAGGATTAGCCAAGTGCGCTGGCCTCTGTTGCCCCTCTTCATCATGATTACAGTGGTCTCTCATCTAAGATTTTCCCTGAGAGTCCAGAAGCTCTGGGGGGTGCAGAGGTAGTGTCCGCCTGGCTCCATACTGGACCCCAGAACTAGCACAGAGCCCAGTATACCATAGTAAAAGCAGAAACACTAGTCACACAACTAAGGAGAAAAACAGATGAAAGATGCTTATAAAGTTGTAAAATCCTGGAGCTGGTGCCATGGGGTAGCAGGTAAAGCCGCCGCCTACAGCACAGCCGTTCCATGTGGGCATCGGCTCGAGTCCCAGCTGCTCCACTTCCAATCCAGCTCCCTGATAATGTGCCTGGGAAAGCAGTGGAAGATGAAAACCCCTGCACCCACGTGGGAGACCCAGGAGAAGCTCCTGGCTTCTGGCTTCGGATCAGCCCAGCTCCAGCCATTGCAGCCATCTGGGGAGCGAACCAGTGGATGAAGACTTCTGTCTCTGCTTCTCCTTCTTTGTAACTCTGCCTTTCAAATAAATAAGTAAATCTTAAAAAAAAAAAAAAGTTGTAAAATCCTATACAAAGTTCAAGTAACAATAATAAGAGTGTGACAAAATCTGATGGTTACCAGACAACCTAATGTTCAAACAGTAGGAAATTTTATTGTAAGAAGGAAACCCTAATTGCTGTAAAATATACTGGAACACGTGTCATTCAATCAAATGGAAAAGAGGTAGGCAAAAATAACCCCAACTCTTACAGTATATTTTCAGGGAATCACAGACAATATTTTGATAATACAGCCTCCACATTCACCCCCAGGTAAGAGGCCTCAGATGGGCAGGGGTCTGCTTGTTCCCAGAGAACATGTTCGTGGCTCTCGTTCAAGACAGGATTAAATACTTTGGCGAGCTGACAAAACCAACGGTGCCGATCTGAGCAAGGCATTGTTATCCTGGCACTTAGCATACAAGTGAGCCAAGCCATGAGGAAAACTGTAGTCGACCATCAATCAATCAGACACCAGCAACACGATGGCAGTGGCCATCGCAACTCAAAACAGCACAAAGTGAGTCCTGGGAATGTCTTCAGGGACCAAAGGTTGCTTCCTCTCTATTGGACCGAGGAATTCCTGCGGAGGAAAGGTCACCAACCGTCAGATTCCAACGGCTCCGCTGCGGTGCCATCGACCTTAGAACATTCCCCAAGATGCCAGTATTTCCAGCAGAAACGATGCGGTAACTGCCTGGTCACCATGGGGGAAACTGACCCGGGGACTGGACATGGGCCCCGGGGAGAGAGAGAACAGGGAAGATTTCACAAGACCCGCTGGTGGCCTGGGGCTGTGGGAGAGTTGGCTGGATGACTCCACAGCCCCCAGACCCTGGTCCGGAGCTTGGTCGGGCGCCATTCGCTTCTCACGAGGCTCTCCCCGGAGGCTGGCGGTCGCCGGCCAAGCCCGGGACTACATTTCCCAGAGGGCATCGCTCGGGGCCGTGGCTATTTGCATAGGGGCGTGGCCGGGCTGGGAAGCCATAGTCCGCGGCGCTCGCCAGGGCTTCAGCTTGCTGCAGCCGCTGCCGGCAGAGATGGTCGCGCTCCTGTTGCTGCTCCTCCTTGTCCCCTTGCTCCTGTTCTTGGCGGCGCCCCATATCAGGTCTGTGCGAATGCATCGCCTTCTCTTGCAAGATCTCGGAGGCACACGAATCTTCACAGACGCGCTTTCGTGTTTCAAAAGCAGGGAAAGGGAAAACTCCCCTGGGGGGCTCCAAGATGGCGAGGCCGGGAGTTGGGTGGGTTTGAGGCCAAGTGTAGCGATCCTGGATGCGAGGAAGGCGAGTCCAGGGACCCCAGGCCGTGGGAAGGGGCTGCAGCCCGAGGCATCCTGCTTTTGCTTCTCCCTGACCCCCCCCTCCCCCTTTCTCCTTTAAATTCTTTTTTTTTCTAAAAATATATGTACCTGAGAGGCAGAGCTCTCCCATCCTCAGCTTCACTCCCCAGATGCCGGCAGCAGCCAGGGCTGGGCCGAGCCGGAGCCAGGAGCTCCCTCGGGACTGGCACGTGGGTGGCAGGGACCCAAGCACACGAGCCATCGCCTGCTGCCTCCTGGCATCGGGTGGGAGCTGGACTCGGACCCAGGCACTCTGGCACAGGATGCGAGCGTCCTAACCGCGAGTTCAGGGTCCCACCCCCGTAGCCCCCTTTTGACATGTGAGCGCCCTCTACTTATAGCTCCCGGGAACCCCGTAGCAAGACTGCTTCAAATGCTGGGGTCTGCAGCTTTGCGAGTTTCAGACCCTGGAGTGGGTGGGATGCGGCTCCCGACACTGTGTTCCCCGCAACCCCCTGCGCCTTGACCCAGCCTCTTCTGGCTTCCGGCCTTTGGGGTTTCGAAGGGGCGGTCCCACTTCGTGCTGATGGATTTGCTTAGGCGCCGAGAAGGGGAGAAGTAAAGAGGGCAAGTGTGTGATGGTGAGCCGGGTCTGCCTTCCGCACTGGAGCCGGCGGGATCTGAGCTGCGCGCTGCACCGGGGAGGGGAACCGCGTGGGAGAGCCGGGGCTGGGGTGGGGTCTGCGGAGCAGGCGATAGATCAGCCCGAGGCTGCCCCCTGCTCGGCAGGCAATCAGCGGCCGCCTGCACAGCGGGCCGCCTGCTGGTTGGTGCTGAGTGAGTCACCAGGAGTGACGGTGCACCGGGAGGTGGGGTCACGGTTCACGTGGAGCCTGTAGCCAGGGTGGATCGTGGCTGGATCACGCTCTGTACTCCCTGGTACCCCCCCCCTTGAAGACTCACTACTTCCCTCCCTGGTACTCCCCCCCCCTTCCCAACTCCAGGCACACGCCGGTGCTCACCCTCAGATGAAAACCCCAACTTTTCTCTTTTCACCACGAAGCAAGCCCTCTTACCACGTGAGCTGAAGCTGAACCGAAAAGAACCGCAAAGAGTGCTCCTAACCCTGGGAGCCTTTTCGGAGAAAGATCCTATGCCAAGGGCTGTATCGTGGGAGCTGGGTCATGGGAGCTGGCCCCAGCTGGACTGTGCAGTTGAGTGTCTCCCTCTCCTTCCTGCTGGTCAAGGAGGAGGAGCCAAGCACAGGTCCCTCTATGTGGCCGTGGGTCCGGGAGCTCAAGCTGAGGGAAGTGAGACAGCCCTGGGAAGAGGGGTGTCGGTTTAGTTGATGGGCCCTGTGAGTTTGTTTGCGTCCTTGTGAGCCTGTTTGCATTAAGCAGATGGCTTCAGTGGCTAGCTGTGTGTACCATGAAATTTCAAGTTCGGTGAAAAAGACCTAAATGCCTTTTAAAAAGGCGTCTGGGGGCCAGCGCTGTGGCGTAGTGGATAAAGCCGCTGCCTGCAGTGCCGGCATCCCATATGGTCACTGGTTCAAATCTTGGCTGCTCCACTTCCGATCCAGCTCTCTGCTATGGCCTGAGAAAGCGATAGAAGAAGGCCCAATTCCTTGGGCCCTTGCACCCATGTGGGAGACCTGAAGAAGCTCCTGGCTTTGGATCGGCACAGATCCGGCCGTCGTGGCCATGTGGGGAGTGAACCAACAGATGGAAGACCTCTCTTGCTCTCTCTGCCTCTGCCTCTCTGCTTTTCAAATAAATAAAAAAAAATTTTTAAAGCATCTCCTGGTTAACAGCTTCTGGCCCAAATTTGCAGAGAAGAGAAAGGACAGTCTGTGGGCAGCTAATATGTTTGTGAGAATGTGTGTTAAGACTGCACAGGTTTCAAAACATGTTTGCACCAATAAATAAACCTTTTACTTCCACTTTCTCATGAAGTTTTTTAAACTTAGATTTTAAAACACGATTTTTTTTTTTTTTTAATTTTTGACAGGCAGAGTGGACAGTGAGAGAGAGAGACAGAGAGAAAGGTCTTCCTTTGCCGTTGGTTCACCCTCCAATGGCCGCCGCGGCTGGTGCGCTGTGACCGGCGCATCGGGCTGATCCAAAGCCAGGAGCCAGGTGCTTCCTCCTGGTCTCCCATGCAGGACTTGGGCCATCCTCCTCTGCACTCCCTGGCCACAGCAGAGAGCTGGCCTGGAAGAGGAGCAACCGGGACAGAATCCGGTGCCCCGACCGGGAATAGAACCTGGTGTGCCGGTGCCGCAAGGCGGAGGATTAGCCTATTGAGCTGCGGCGCCAGCCGATTCTTTCTATTTATTTCTAAGTTTTATTTGAAAGGCAGTGACAGGGCAAGACAGAGGGAGAGATCTTCCATCCTCTGGTTCCTTCCCAAACAGCCTCAACAGTCAGGGTTGTGCCAGGCTAAAGCCAGGAGCCAGGAGTTCCATCTGGGTCTCCCACGTGGGTGACAGGGGCCCGAGTACTTGGGCCATCAGCTGCTGCTTTGCCATGTGCATTAGCAGGGAGCTGGATCAGAAGCAGAGCGGCCGGGACTTGAACCAGCGCTGGGATGTGGGATTTTGACATCACAAGCGGCTGCTGACCTCGCTGCTCCCCGACACCAGCCCTCATGAAGTGTTAAGTCCCCACATATCTGCGTTCATTCGCTTGGAAAGGCAGTGTGGTAACTGGAGTGCTGAGGAACAAGGGCTAATTAGACGAACCAGGACTTGGATTCCAGTTCCCCTTATTTAACTCTTGTCTTCTTTTTAGAATATTTATTTGAGAGGCAGGGAGAAAGCTAGGCGCTTGGTTCACTCCCCAAATGCCTGCAGTGACAGAGGGGCCGAGGGTTAAGCTGGGAACCGGAACTCAGTGTAGGTCTCCCACATAGGTGGTGGGAGCCCAGTTTCCTAAGCTGTTACCGCTGTCTCCCAGGTGCACCTCAGCAGGAAGCTGGGCCCAGGAGCCAGACGCAGGCATCAGACCCAGGCACTCTGTTGTGGATGCTGACATCCTAACCGCTGGGCTAAACACTTGCTTCCCCTTTATCTATTTTTTAAGTGTGTGTGCATGAGTGTGTTGGGGAGAGGTGGTTCTGTATGTTTTGTCACAGATTTACAAACTTTCATAATTTCTTTTTTTAAGATTATTTATTTGAAAGGCAGAGTTAGAGAGGGGGAGAGACAGAGTGAGATCTCACATCTGCTGGGTCACTCCCCAAATGGCCGCAATGGCCGGAGCTGGGCTGATCAGATCCAAGAGCCAGGAGCTTCTTCCAAGTGTCCACCATGGGTGCAGGGGCCCAAGTACTGCTTTCCCAGGCCATAGCAGAGAGCTGGATTGGAAGAGGGGCAGCCAGGACCAGAACCAGCGCCCACATGGGATGGCAGCGCTGTAGGCGGCAGCTTCTCCTGCTACGCCACGGCGCTGGCCCCAAACTTTCATAATTTCACTCCGTGTGTTACGTTAGCATTTCTCAAGGCTCCTCATGCCGGTTGTGGGCAGATTGACTTTGCACAGGCCAGTTCTTTCTTGTTCTCAGCTGAGTCTTATGATTTCCTAAGCCAAAGTACCTTATGGGGAGCTCACACCGAAGTCAGGTGCCTGGATAATGAAATAGTCATCCAGTTTTGGTACAGCAAGGAGGGCCTCTAGGCATTGCCTTTGTAACAGAATATCAGTTTTGTCTTTGAGCAAGAGCAGAAAACTCTCCTCTCCTTTTAAAACTACTCTTTTTCAACTTGCATCCACTTAAACAAAGGACGACAGTGGGAGGAACTAAAGCAAACCCGGGCCTTGGGATCTGAAGACACAGGGAGTTACAGAAGGGCCCGGCTGAGCTGAGCAATGAAGAACTGATGAGCTCTCCTTTGTCTGCAGAAAAATGCTATCCAGTGGGGTGTGTACGTCAACTGTCCAGCTTCCCGGGAAGGTGGTGGTGGTCACCGGAGCTAACACAGGCATCGGCAAGGAGACAGCCAAGGAGCTGGCTCAAAGAGGCAAGTCGTGTGCTTCTGCCCCCCTCCTGCTACTGCCATTGTACCCCTCACAGGGACTGTTCTGTGTCTTCCCAGGCTTGGAATTCAAGAACGCTCCAAATGTCCCATTGATTTGCTAGTCTGAGCCCAGTCCAATGCTCTACATAACACTGTCACTTCACAGAGACAATTGATTTCTTTTTCTTCCCTGATTTGTCCATTTAGATCCCTCTAGTATAAAAGTAGGGGTTAAAAATTCTTCTTTTTTTTTTTTTTTTTTTTTTTGACAGGCAGAGTGGACAGAGAGAGAGAGACAGAGAGAAAGGTCTTCCTTTGCCGTTGGTTCACCCTCCAATGGCCGCCGCAGCCGGGGCGGTTGGGGGGGCGCACCGCGCTGATCCGATGGCAGGAGCCAGGAGCCCAGGTGCTTTTCCTGGTCTCCCATGGGGTGCAGGGCCCAAGCACCTGGGCCATCCTCCACTGCACTCCCTGGCCACAGCAGAGAGCTGGCCTGGAAGAGGGGCAACAGGGACAGAATCCGGCGCCCCAACCGGGACTAGAACCCGGTGTGCTGGCGCCGCTAGGCGGAGGATTAGCCTAGTGAGCCGCGGCGCCGGCCAAAAATTCTTGTCTTTTAAGAAATCAGTAGAAAATAACGTTCACCACGAGCCTACGAGGAAAATCAAAAGCGGAGCTGACAGTGTTCTTTCTCGAATGTCGGTTGTCAGGAGCCCGCGTGTACATAGCTTGCCGGGATGTGCAGAAGGGGGAATTGGTGGCCAGAGAAATCCAGAGCAGCACAGGGAACCAACAGGTGCTGGTGCGGAAACTGGACCTGGCCGACACCAAGTCTATCCGGGCCTTTGCTGAGGACTTCTCGGCAGGTAAGTGTCGAGCCGGGGACTGTGCTGTGAGCCGTGATCGGCGTGGCAGGCCCACCTAAGAGGAAAACCCTGCTCTCCTACTACCAATACATACGGATGGTGAAAAAAATCCACCTGAGCACTTGGGAGACCTAGCTGAACCCACTGTGACCACGCGGGATGTGACTTTTGTCAAAGGCACACCCTCCGGAGGCAGAAGCAGAAAGGGAATTTGAAAAGCCCTTGCAGCGAGCAAAAGCCGACGCTGAAAATCTCGCGGGACAATCAGAACTCACTGTGGACATTTTCAGGTCCAGGGTCTTAAACGCCCATACAGGGATAGGAGGCGAGGCCACTGGGCCCTTGAGAGCTGGGTCTGTTTGTATCTGAGGCTCCTTGTGAGCTTGAGATTCACAAGGAACCCTCTGGTCCATGGTATAGTGGCCAAAAAATAAACCCTGGCTACCAGCTGAGGGACATGACATAGAAGCTTACAGGACACAGAGAGAGAAATAGTCATCGGCAAGAAATGAGACTTGTTTGTGCGTGTGCAAGAAGCTGGAATTGAAGTTGACACAAAAACCTGTAAAAGCACATTCATGCACACTCTGTAGGCACATCCCCTCAACAACCCGAGGATCTAGGCTTCCCAGGGCAAACAGTGTCCGCTGATGGGAACTTAATAAACCACAAGCCACATAAGGAAATGAACCATGAGAGAGAGTGCAACAGAGATGAAACCAGTATTTCTTTTGGGATCTGAATCCCAGTGGCGGGGGCCCACATAATACAGCCTTTTTGCTTTTTTTTTTTTTTTTTCCCCCTCTCTTGCCTTGGAATCTTTTTCTTGCAGCTTGGGAAGCCTTTCTGTTGGGAGAGGTAAACAAAACACTTCCCCAAAGCAGTCTGTAAGTAGCGCCAGGACTGGAAGGATTGCAAAGGCCACTCGGTAGTCGACAATGAGCTTTTGTAGTAAAAGTAGATGGGATTCAGCTTAAGTCTTACAGTGAGAAACACCACAGAATAAGGGTGAGGGAGAAGTGGAGGAAAGATGAAAGCCCAGCCTCTGCACTTTTTTAAAGATTTATTTTTTTTTATTTGAAAGGCAGAGTTACAGAGAGAGGAGGAGAGGCAGAGAGAGAGAGAGAGAGAGGGGTCTTCCATCTGCTGGTTCACTCCCCAGTTGGCCGCAATGGCCAGAGCTGAGCTGATCCAAAGACAGGAGCCAGGAGCTTTTTCCGGGTCTCCCATGCAGGTGCAGAGACCCAAGGACTTGGGCCATCTTCCACTGCCTTCTCAGGCCATAGCAGAGAGCTGGATCGGAAGTGGAGCAGCAGGTCTTGAACCAGTGCCCATATGGGATGCCATTGCTTCAGGCCAGGGTGTTAACCTGCTGTGCCACAGTGCTAGCCCCTGCACTTTTTAAAAAAAAAAGAATTATTTATTTGAAAGGCAAAGTTAGAGAGGAGGAAAGAAAGAGAATCTTTCATCTGCTGGTTCACTCCCCAACTGGCTGCAATGGCTGGGGCTGGGCCAGGCTGAAGCTAGGAGTCTGGAGCTTCTTCCAGAGCTCCAACATGGGTACAGGGGCCCAAGCACTTGGGCCATCATCCACTGCTTTCCCAGGCACATTAGCAGGGAGCTGGATTGGAAGTGGAGCAGCCGGGTTTCAAATCGTTGCCCATAGGGGATGCTGGCCTCACGGGCGGAGGCTTTACCTGCTATGCCACGGTGCTGACCTGGGTGAGGCAGGTTTCTAAGATGGGACAGCTGTGGCTGGCCATCTCCACGCTCTGTCTTCTCTTCCCTGCAGAAGAGAAGCACCTCCACATTTTGATCAACAATGCAGGAGTGATGATGTGTCCCTACTCCAAGACAGCAGACGGCTTTGAGATGCACATGGGCGTCAACCACTTGGGTAAGAAATCTGGCCCCATCACAAAGCTAGAGGGGCCTAAAGTTCTCCTTGGAAAAGTTAGAGTCACACTGGGACTTCTTTATGGTGTGATTGGACAGCAGGCCCCTAACAGACCATGGATGAATAGTAAGTAGTTTGGTTTTGCTGGAAAGCTAAGAAATAAATGAGGGCTGCCCCAGATTCTGCCCACTTTTTAACAGTGATTAGGTTCAGTTTACCTGGCAGCATGTTTTAAAAAAAACTATTTAAGAGGCAGAGAGAGAGAGAGAGAGACAGATTCCATTCACTGGTTCACTCTGCAAATGCCTGCATCAGCCAGGACTGTGCTGAGCCAAAGCCAAGAATTGGGAACTGAGTCCTATCTCTAATGTGGGTAGAGACCTGCCTAGTTGAACAGTCTCCTGCTGCTTCCCGTGATCTGTATTAACAGGAAGCTAGGATTGGAGACTGGAGTCTGGCATTGAACCGAAGCACTCTGATACGGGGTGCAGGCACCTGAACCAGCCAAATGCATTCTTGGGACATTTTGAACAGTCTTATTGGATTTGGCGCTGGCTTGCTTTTCTTAGTAATGATCCTGTGGCCAGTGAGAGGCCACGTGATGTTGACCAAAGCTGGAATAAGATAGGACTTCATACTCACACAGTCCAGAGCTGCCGCATATTACGGTGTCTCTCATGTCTTTGGCTGTTCCCATTTCCCCAAACCATCCCTGAACTTACTCCCAAGTCAACAATGAAAAGCTGAGTTCCTAGATGTTACTCCTGGTTCTCTGCCTCCCGGAGCCTAGCCCCGCTCATCAGTACTCCTGACACCCCCACACTGACCCCGAACTCTGTTAATTCTGGCTTTTCTCAACAGGTCACTTCCTCCTGACCCATCTGCTGTTAGCAAAGCTAAAGGAATCAGCCCCATCAAGGGTCATAAATGTGTCTTCCCTGGCACATCACCTGGGAAGGATCTACTTCCATAACCTGCAGGGCGAGAAGTTCTACAACGCGGGTCTGGCCTACTGCCACAGCAAGTTGGCCAACATTCTCTTCACCCGGGAGCTGGCCCGGAGGCTGAAAGGTGGGATTGCAGGGCACGAGCGTGGAGACTGGGGGGGGGGGGGGGCGCTGAAAGCCGCGGGAGTGGAGGCAGGACCTGCCCCCGTGACTGTTAGTGGGTATGGTTTTAGGAGGTGGCCAACTGGGGACAGGCACTGGTGGCTGCGTGACCTGCAGCAGGTTGCTTAGCTTTCAAGGCTTACATCCTCCTACTAGGGTGCTTCAAAGGTTCACAGAGAATGGAGTGAGAAGATGTGTTGCTTTGGTGATATCTGTAATGCAGGGTTTTCTTAATGCACATTTCCCAAGGTCTTTTTGAAGATCCCCTCATAGATACAAATCCCCCCCTTTTTTGAAACAGTAAACTTTTACTTTTCCATGAATTCTTATATATAAAACTAGACTATCTGAAGGGTTATTGTCATAATTAATTTAGGCCTTGCATGCAACACAGGGTTGTTTTTTTGTTTTTTAGGTTTTTTTTGTTTGTTTTTTTTTTTTACTCCTAGTAAGACTGAGTGGAAGGGAGGAGGGAGACCCTGGAATGGCACCATCACAGGCATTAGCCTAAAACTCCGGACCCACGTGGGTGGCTAAGCAGTAGCAAAGGGCTGAATAGAGGGAAATGTATGCTTGAGAAGGGAGTCTCCTGTCAGAAATGGAGGGCCTTAGCACGGCCTCCTCTGGATTTCCAATTAAGAGAAAGGAAATCAAGGCTGGGCAGTGCTTAGGACGGGAGCCAAGCAAAATTCATGGTTAAGGAATCAGGCACAGGAGAGCCACTGTTGGAAAAAGGCCTCCGGGCCACACAGGCAGCTGCAAGATGAGGAAGGAAGGAAGCTGGTGGTCCGGGCCATGGCATCTTGTGTCTGGCCGGAGCAGACAGCCGTCGCTGAGGGATGAAGCCCATCCCGCAGGTGATCAGGGAACGAGGGCCATCTGGAGGTGGAAAGGTGGGCCCAGCTGTGAGAAGCAGATCCAAGCAGGCTGTACACGAGGGAGGTAGCTCACTTGGTTGTGAGGACCAGGTGCGAGATAGCCATGGTGCCGGGAAAGAACCCAGGCATGGTGGAGACTCGTGCAGTTCCCCAGCAGGCCACGTGGTCAGCGCCCATGCCATTCCGTGCACCAGATGGCGAGCAGGACAGGTACGCTCGGTCCCTGGACTTGTTCACTCTAACTAGCAAGTCATGTTTTTAAGTGTCACATGTAAAACCAGTCCAGTAATACATGAACAAGTCTCACTGTAGAAAGCACGAATAGTGTGGAAGCAGAGTGAAAGGTGAACCTCCCCCCCTTCATTTCTTCCTGTTTCTCCCTTTCTTCTTCTTTCCGCACCATCAGCAACTTCTTGTGCCCCTTTCCACTCGTTTCATGCATTTCCATGTGTGCATCACACAGAGGAACTGAAATTCCAGCTTTTCCATGTAGCACAAACAGAATCAGCCTTTCGGTACTGCACAGTAAGGGGTTGCTTAGTGTATGTATCCGTTTCCTTAGCAACTCTAGATTGTCTCCTGTCTGTTGTTGCTGGCTAACTGGAAGTGTGATAAGTGCTATCAAGGAGAAGGACAAGGAACTATAATGGATGTTCTGCAGAGAGAGGGAGGGCTTTCCACGTGGACCCTGGGTCTGCATTACTGTGGGTCATCCAGGGCAGGGGTCAAGTAGATGGCCCGACACCATTCAAGCCCCCAGTTCTTTTTGGTTGTGAAATCCACAAAGACCTGGGAGTTTTGGTTTTTCACAAGCTCCGCACCACAACTAAGGCAGCATAACCTTCCCTTAGCTGGGGGATTAGATGATGGAGGCTCTAGGTGTATGTTTCCTGTTAGCTTTCTGAGATCAGAAACAGTTTGAAACATTTCTGGCACCAAGGTTTCAGTAAAGGGTGGCCTACCTGAAATAGCGGGTCTCAAAGCGGCACCTCGCATTCACCACACACCTCTTGCCATTCTAAGTTCTTTTACAAAAGTGAGCCCATTTAACCCTCAGAACAACTCTTATGATTATCCTCATTTTATTTTTTTAATTTAGTTTTTATTTACTTGAAAGGCAGAGACAGACAGAAGACTTCCATTTGTTGTTCACTGCCCAGATGCCTACAGTAGCTGGAGTTAGACTGGGCTGAAGCCAGGAGCCCAGATCTCAGTCTGGGTCTCCTGTGTGTGTTAGGCACCCAAATACTTCAGCCATCACTTGCTGCCTCCCAGGGTACTCCTTAGCAGAAGGTTGGAATTGGGGGCGTAGTCGGGATTTGAACTCAGGCATTGCAGCAGGGGGTGCTGGCATCCCCACTGATGGCTTCATTGCTGTGTCAAACGTCCACTCTTGACTGTCCTCATCTTTGAGCTGAGTCACAAAAACAGGAGCTTGTCCAGGCTTACACAGCTGACAAGTGAAACTGGGACTTGACAGAGTGTGTATAGTGTGCCATGAGAGCCCAGCATTTAAAGTTTGGGATGAGAAGCAGGCTTTGGTGCAGCCCTTAAATCTCTGGTTGACAGCACCCCATATCTGAGAGCCTGGTTTGAGCCCCGGCTACCCCACTTCCAGTCCGGCTTCCTGTGATGCACACCCTGGATAAACAGCTGGTGATGGTCCAAGTACTTGGGTTCCTGCAGCCCATGTGGGAGACCCAGATGGAGTTCTGGGCTCCTGGCCTTGGCCTGGCCCAGACCTGGCTGCTGCAGGCATGTGAACCAGCGAATGGAAGACCTCTGTCTGTCCGACTGCCTTTCAAATTAGATGAAAATAAATAAAATTTTTTTAATTTAAAACTTGGGTAAATAATAATGGACTGTCTGGGAAATAGACAAAGCAGCCAGAAAGGTTAGGAAAACCAGGAGAGGGGTGGGGTCGTGGAAGCCAGTAGAAAAGAAGCCTCTAAAGCGACAGCGGCCAGCTGTGTAACGTGCCCCTGAGAGGCTGGCCCCCGGCTCTGCTGCTTTGTAACAGCCCCTGAGAGCAGTGCTGCCACGGGCAGGGGTCCACATGTGGGGTCACCGCTTTATTCACATCGTTGTTCTGATTGGCTGTTCAGCAAAACATCAAGGCATGTCCTCCCCTCTCCCTGCCCCCCCACCCCATCCCACCCCAGGCTCTGGCGTGACGGCGTATTCTGTGCACCCTGGCACGGTCAACTCGGAGCTGATTCGGCACTCGGCTCTCATGAGATGGATGTGGCGGCTTTTCTCCTTCTTCATCAAGACTCCCCAGCAGGGGGCGCAGACCAGCCTGTACTGCGCCTTGACCGAAGGGCTGGAGAGTCTCAGTGGGAACCATTTCAGGTAGGGGCGTTTTTGTTTCCGAAGAGGGGATGTTGTGGCCCGGGGGAAATCATCTGGATCTGTCTGGTATAAGAGTACCTTGCCTACTAGAGCTTTGTCTCTGACGCTAGGATTTTTATTTTTGCATTGATGTGGAAGAATTGTGCCTGTTTGTGGGGTGCAGGGTGATATTTTGCAACATGCACACAATGTGTAATGGACAAATCAGGGCCATTAGCTCAGCCATCTCCCCAGGCGCGTGTCGGCTTGTTGTTGGGAGCAAAGCCCTCTCTCGTAGCTATTTTGAAACATACAGTAAGTTGTAATTCACTATACTGACCCTATGGTGCTGTTGGAGACTAGAATTTATTCCTCCCATCCAAATGCAGTTGTGTGCCTTGTGATACGGCCTCTGCCTGTCTCCCTCCTCACCGACCTCAGCCTCTGCATGCGTGAGGTCAACATCTTTACCTTCGAGAAAGGAGTGAGGACACGCAGTGCTGTCTTTCTGTGCCTTGAGTATTTCACTTAGCATTATGTCCCCCAGGTTTCCCCGTGTTGCCACGAATGGCTGACTAGGGCTCCATTGTGTATATTATGCAATGTTTTCTCTGTCCACTCACCCATTTAAGGACACTGAGGTTAGCTCCTTATCTTGGCTGCTATGAATAATACTGCAGAAACATGAGGGTGCAGGTGTCTCCAACATGCTTCCTTCCCCTTGGACGTGAGCCCAGTGGTGGAATCACTGGGAGCGGAACTGATCCACTCACCCATTCACGTTTTTGTGATAACTAAGGTTGGATTCTCTCATGTCATCTTTTTTTTTTTTAAGATTTATTTATTTATTTCAGAGGTAGAGTTACAGAGAGAGAGGGAGAGAGGTCTTCCATCCGCTGGTTCACTCCCCTCAATGGCCAGAGCTGGGCTGATCAGGAGCCAGGAGCTTCTTTCTGGTTTCCCACGTGGGTGCAGGGACCCAAGTGCTTGAGCCATCCTCTGCTGCTTTCCCAGGCCATAGCAGGGAGCTGGATTGGTAGTGGAACAGCCAGGACACAAACTGGAGCCCAAATGGGGTGCCAGTGCTGCAGGCGGAGGCTTAACCTCCTACACACAGAACCAGCCCCTCATGTCGTCTTTTTATACTGATAATTTCACTTCCTGGTGTTTTTTTTTTTTGTCAGTCTAGCTTTCTTTATTCCTTTCTGGATTCTTAGCTCTATTTTTTTTATATTAAAAAGAGTTTGAATCTCTATTTTTTTCTTGTCTTCAAGATTGAAATGTTACATATGCATTTCATGTTTTGTATAAGTAAAGACTTAAAATCATTTTATTAAGATTTATTTATTTGAGGGGCCAGCGCTGTGGCGCAGCAGGTTAAAGCCCTGGCCTGAAGCGCCGGCATCCCATATGGGTGCCGGTTCTAGTCCCGGCTGCTCCACTTCCCATCCAGCTCTCTGCTGTGGCCTGGAAAAGCAGTAGAAGATGGCCCAAGTCCTTGGGCCCCTGCACCCACGTGGGAGACCTGGAGGAAGCTCCTGGCTCCTGGCTTCGGATTGGCACAGCTCCAGCCATTGAGGCCATCTGGGGAGTGAACCAGCGGATGGAAGACCTCTCTCTCTCTCTGTCTCTACCTCTCTCTGTAACTCTGTCTTTCAAATAAATAAAATAAATCTAAAAAAAAAAAGATTTATTTATTTGAAAGGCAGAGTTGCACAGAGAAAGAGTGAAATCTCCCATCTACTGGTTCACTTCCCAGATGGCAGCAATGGCTGAGGCTTCACCAGGCTGAAGCCAAGAGCCTGGAACTCCATCTGGGTCTCCCACATGGGTGCAGGGGCCCAGGGACTTGGGCCATCCCCTGCTGCTTTCCCAGGCGCATTAGCAGGGAGCTGGATTGGAAGCAGAGTGGCTGAGACTCAAACCAGCACTCACTTGGGATGTTGATGTTGCAGGTGGCAGCCTAACCCACTACACCACAGCACCAGCCCCTTAAAACGTTTTTAAATGTTTATTTTCCTGTACTTGAAAAGCAGATTGACGGGTGGGGTGGCAGGGGTAGGAAGGGAAAGATCATCCATCCACTGGTTCACTACCCAAATGCCCACAACAGCTAGGGCTGGGCCAAGCCAAAGCCAGGAGCCAGAAGCTCCACCTGTGTCTCCCACATGAGTAGCAGGGATCCAAGCACTTGAGCTGTCACCTGCTGCTCCCCAGGAGGCATTAGTTTCCTTTTTTCTTTTTTCTTTTTGACAGGCAGAGTGGACAGTGAGAGAGAGACAGAGAGAAAGGTCTTCCTTTTGCCGTTGGTTCACCCTCCAATGGCCGCCGCGGCCGGCGCGCTGCAGCTGGCGCACCGTGCTGATCCGATGGCAGGAGCCAGGTGCTTCTCCTGGTCTCCCATGGGGTGCAGGGCCCAAGCACTTGGGCCATCCTCCACTGCACTCCCGGCCACAGCATACAGCTGGCCTGGAAGAGGGGCAACCGGGACAGAATCCAGCACCCCGATCGGGACTAGAACCCGGTGTGCCGGTGCCGCAAGGCGGAGGATTAGATTATTGAGCCGCGGCGCCAGCTGCATTAGTTTCCTAAAGCTGGATCAGAAGTAGAGCAGCAGCCAGGGGGCTGGCATTGTGGTCCAGCAAGTCAAGCCATTGCCTGTGATGCCGGCATCCCATATGAGCGCTGGTTTAAGTCCCAGCTGCTCCATTTCTGATCCAGCTTCCCGATACTGTGCCTGGGAAGGCAGTGGATGATGGCCCAAGTGCCATCTCACCACATGGGAGACCCAGATGAAGCTTCTGGCTCCTGGCTTTGGCCTGGTCCAGCCCTGGCCATTGCGGCCATTTCGGGGGGTAAACCAACAGACAACAGATGGAAGATCTCTATCTGTCCTTCTCTCTCTGTTACTCTGCCTTTCCAATAAATAAATTAGTATCTTTCAAAAAAAAAAAAAGGAAGAAGTGGAACAGCAGGCCTCAAACTGCCACTCCGATGTGAGATGCAGGTGTCACAAACAGTAGCTTGACCCACTGTACCACCCACAAGACTTCAAACCTCTTATTGTGAAGAAAATGTCAAATGATCCAACCTCAGCCACCGTGTCCAGTCCTGCCCCATCCCTATACCCCACACCCTCTCATATTTTTCTTGTATTTCAAAGCAAAGCCCATACGTCACATAAAATCAAAATTTTACCATGTTTTGACTTCTACCTTGAAGATGTTATTGAAATGACCTGAAGTCTTGGAGGAAGGGCTGTAACTGCCTTGGGATTGGCAAGTCTGGTGTGGAAGACCTATCCTGGCAGACTTACGGCGAAGCCACAGTTGTTTAGATAAAAATCATGGTTTGAGAGAGGCCCTGAAGAGGCAGACATTGTATCCCTGGCTCATCACTCATTGAGGGGAGGGGAGGAATTTGGTAACCTGGGTTTCAGGCCTGAGTCACCAGGAGGTTGATGATGACCTCAACTGAGACAGCAGACGCAGGAAAATAATGTGGCTTAGGTGATTCCAAAGTAGTGGGGATGGCTTCTGGGTAACCTAAGAAGAAAATGTACCAAAATTTGGTTAGAAGGGTGCCTGCAGGTCCAAAGGGATGTTAGATTGGATTGGCCAGTCGGCTGACTCTGGCACTTTTCCTGGAGTGAGTGCCAGCTGTCTTTGGTCTTTTTTTGCTGCTTCACTCCCCAAATACCTGCAACCACCAGGGCTGGACCAGGCCAAACCAGGAGCCTGGAACCCAACCTGGATGTCCCATGTGGGTGGAAGGAACCCACGTACTTGAGCCCTTACATGCTGTCTCCCAGCGTGTTCATGGGCAGGAAGCTGGAGCAGAAGTCGAGGAGCTGGGACTTGAACCCAGGCATTCCCGGATGGCATGTGGGCATCTCAAGTGGCATCTCCACCGTATGGCAAACATCTGCCCGGTTTAGTTTGGTTTTCTTGCTTACTGTCCACTCTCCAAGGGCGATGCGTTGGCTCCCCTTCCTTCCTATCCCTTTGCCTCCCCTCTCTTGGCCAAGGGAAGACACACACCTGATTAACAGTCTCATGAAACTACATCCAGGGAGAAAACACAATTCTGCAGGACACCAAGGGTAACAGTGTCTTAATGGACATAGTGTTAGGAGTTTGCTTTATATGGTTAATTAAGACTTGTCCAGTCTCCTTTTGCCTTCAGAATTTGCTTAAAATATCCAGGGCACAGCTTCCTTGAAATAGTGTATTTTTGTTTGTTTGTTTGTTTGTTTTGACAGGCAGAGTGGACAGTGAGAGAGAGAGACAGAGAGAAAGGTCTTCCTTTGCCGTTGGTTCACCCTCCAATGGCCGCCGCGGCTGGCGCACCGCGCTGATCCGAAGGCAGGAGCCAGGTGCTTCTCCTGGTCTCCCATGCGGGTGCAGGGCCCAAGTACTTGGGCCATCCTCCACTGTACTCCCGGACCACAGCAGAGAGCTGGCCTGGTAGAGGGGCAACCGGGACAGAACCCGGCGCCCCGACCGGGACTAGAACCCGGTATGCCGGCGCCACAAGGCAGAGGATTAGCCTAGTGAGCCGCGGCGCCGGCCAAAATAGTGTATGTTTAAAAATGGCTTCTCACATGACTTTCAAAGACTGTGATCCACTCAATTATTAAAAAAAGAAAAAGTCTTCATTGAATACCTACTGTGTGCTAGATACAGAAAAGTAAAGCATGAGTCAGAGAATTTCTGAGTGGTGTGGAGTTAGGATAGCCCTCCCACATTTAGTATTTGAATTACAACAATGAAGCAGGGGCACATGAAACACCTTGCTATGGTTTGGCTGCGTCTCCCAAGGTTCATGTGTTGGAAACTTAATGCCCACACAGTGTTGCAGCTGAGACAGGTGAGTAGGTGACGAGGGCAGCCTCATAAATGGATTCATGCCGTTATTTCAGGAGGGGGTTCCTTATACAAGAATGAGTTGGGGCTGCCAGTATTGTGGCCTAGTGGATTGAGCTGCCCCTTGTGATGCTGGTATCCCCATCAGAAAGCTGGTTTGAGTCCCAGCCTCTCCACTTCTGATCCAACTCCCTGCTAATGCACCTGGGAAAGCAGCAGAAGCTGGCCCAGGTACTTGAGTGCCTGCTACCATGTGGGAGACCAGAATGGAGTTCCTGGCTCCTGGCTTTGCCCTGGCCCAGCCCTGGCTGTTGTGGCCATTTGGGGAGAGAACCAGCAAATGCACGATTTCTCTGTCTCTCGCTCTTTCTCTGTTGTTCTGCCTTTCAAATAAATAAATAGAGGGTATTGGGGAACGAGTTGGGCCCTTCTCTCTCTTTCTGTGGCCCACGTGATGCCTTCTGCCGTGTGATGATGAAGCAAGAAGGCCCTCACCAGATGCTGGCCCCTGTATCTCGGGCTTCCCGGCCTCCATAAGCGTGGACCAGTAAATTCCTTCTGTTCCTTATAAATTGCCCAGTCTGTGGTACTGTTACGGTAGCACAAAAGGGACTAAGACACATGTGGTACCTTGTTACCACATCTTTTCTATTACATTTAGCGCCTTTGGCTTATGACGCCAGCTTATCAATATGAGTTTAAACTGTTATGAGTGCAGATAGTCCAGAACTAATTGGTGTTTTCTTTCTACTCCAAGCATTTGTGTGGCCAATGCAGAATCTCAGTTAACATGACACTCTCCAAGGCTAAGCAGAATGGACCTTTTGGACTTGCACAGGTGTCGGCAGATGTTGACATTGGAGTTCAGTACATACAGGCACATCTCAGACACACTGCAGGTCTAAGGAGGCGTCTGTTTTCTCTGGGGTAAAGATAGGAGAAGGAAGGCCCAAGACAAGCAGTGGCCCTGTGCAGCCCTGGAGGCCCTGGGACCCCGGGGTTTCTGTTTTTTTTTGTTTGTTTGTTTGTTTGTTTTGTTTTTCTGTCGTATCTCTTATTCCCAGCTGAGAGCAGACTCTCTTCTTCACCCTCTGCTTCACGCCTCTCTGTTTCCCTTGCAGCGACTGCCATCTGGCATGGGTCTCTGCCCAGGCTCGAAACGAGACGATAGGAAGGCGGCTGTGGGATGTCAGCTGTGACCTGCTGGGCCTCCCCACGGACTGACAGGTAGGGCATTTGGACCCAAAAGAAGACTGCGGGCGACTGTGCAGTACTCCCTGCCAAAATGATTCTCCTTCAAGGTGACCAAGGGCTTGAACACGGAGAGAACAAAGCTTTTCCAGCCTTCCCTGCTTGGTGTCCGGTTACACCCCATCCACTGCCGCATTTGCCTAAACACCTTTCATGGCCTGGACTGGCTCGACTAGCAGAGTTGCTGGCTGTATCACAGGACGTGAGGACCCTTACATGACCTGCACTGGAGCTGCTCCTACCCCGGGGAAGCTAAGCTACTTGTTTTTTTACCCTGCTCACTCACAACGTCCTTCCTCCCATTCCAACCAATCCCCGCGCAGAGAGGGCCACGCCAAAGCCTCTGCCCAACACCATGGCCGCAGTGCCGTGTGCAGAGTGCGGCTTGTCCCTCCTCTTGTCACCTGTCAGGGCGCCAGCATCTGGATTCTTGGAGGACTGTGGCACGACCTTGTCTGTGACAGCCCAAAGCCTGTGCCATTAGAGGACCCTTCCCCGTCTGGACTGCAGAGGGGCTTCCTCTGCTAAGACGTGTATGGGGCTTGGGAAGGCAGAAATAAAAAAAAAAAAATCCAGCTCAAGCTCATTTTCCTGCTGTTTCTCAAATCAGTTCAGAGGCAATGAACTCTGAGAAGGCAGGCCACTTCCAAGGCTGCTGCAGGCCCACAGAGGCCTCCCTTTCGTGCCGTAGTTTCTCTTAGAAGACCAGACAAAGAAAGGACAGGCTTTTCTGGGCACTGTCATTGTGTGTATCTTTTGCATGTTTCCTTGTGTTTTTACCTAATTGGTAGTGTTTGCAGGAAATTCAAACTGCCACAAAGGAATAGCATGAAAGCAGGTAAATGATCAGGGATGGAGCAAACCAGTCTTTGATGTCAGTGGATGGAGCCGCAGAGGGAGGCAGACTCCGTGCTCACAGATGTTGGTGACCACTCACCAAGAAGCGCATGCCCTGTGGGGAGGACATCCCCAAACCCGCATCTAGGGAATAATGCATGAAATGCAGGGGTCGGGTAAGGACTGAAATGAATGGAAGGCAGACAGAATTGAGGTGAGCACCGGAGCTGGCAGGACTGATGAGGCACTGTGTTAAAGACACCAGTCCATCAGTGTGGTATCTTAAAGCCTCCAACTGGTAATTCCAGCCGGTCTAACAGCCTTCCAGGGCATTTCCTTATGGTATCTGGACAAGATTTAAATGATTATGTGCTTACATCCTGTGGGTACCAGTTCACGTCCCAGCTGCTCCACTTCCAATCCAGCTCCCTGCTATGGCCCGGGAGAGCAGCGGAGGATGGTCCTAGTGCTTGGACCTCTGTACCCATGTGGGAAACCTGGAGGAGGCTGCTGGCTCCTAGCTTTGGCCTGGCTCAGCCCTGGCCATTGGGGCCATTTGGGGAGTGAACCAGTGGATGGAAGACCTCTCTCTCTTTCTCTCTCTCTGTATCTCTGCCTTTCAAATAAATAAATATTTTTTAGAATAATACTGCTCAAGGAAGTCTAAAGAATTGGTGACATTGCCATCTCCTGTTTGCAGTATGTTATTCTAACAGAGTTTGTGATTTTCTTGGACTGAGAATTTTAACTTTGGTAGGGCAGAGTCCTAAGACTACCGTCTTCACTTCTGTCTGTAAGTAAATATAAATCTTCGGTTGCACTTGTTTTGACCGCTAAACTTGTAAATATTTAGAAATGGTCATTTTATAGGAAAATTGGCAAACTTTTGATAATACGGTAGAACAGATGAATTAATATTTTACTTAATTTATATTGAACATGCAATAACAAATAAAAATCTTTTTCAGTTGTTTGTCATGTTTTTACTTATGAGAATAAAAACCGTAAGAATTAAGCACAAGCTCACTTATAGTCGAAAGAAGACAACACTTCGTCGTTACAGCTTGGCAGTTATTTCTCACGTTAAGGGCCGTTTAGCCCGGAGTTGAGCTGTAATGCTACAATCTGCAGATGACAGTAACCTGGATTGTGTGCTGACTTGACGCCTCGCGCCCATTGCCTGCTTTGCCGACACAGCTGGAGGTCACTTTGTCCTCGTGTTCTGACCGCGGCATGCTGTTGATCTCTGCGCTGTAGCACAGTGCGCTGCCACCGCCACCCTCAGCTCTTGTCATCTCCGTGCTGGGTGTCACCTCCACGCACTGAGAGCTCAGCACTGTTAAAATCAAGCCTCAAATCTACTAGAAATAAGGGCCCGGGAGACACAAGTCACCAACATTATCCTCTCAGCATTCGCGGGCATTAAAATGTGCGTGCGTTTAAACTGGGCTCCCAGGCAAGCGAGAGCGAAGCGTGAAATCAGCGCCAAGGGGCACCTGTGCGCATGCAGTGCAGGAGAGGGCTTTGTCCACCTAGTGGTGGACCAGCTGAGGAAGCCCCGCCATCGGTGGCCCCTAGTTCATGTGCCCAATGAACTAGGCGAGCCCAGCCTAGAGACCAAGAACGCACACTTTGGGGTCCACTGCCCGGGGTTTCATGACCCTAGCCACCTGACATCCCAGTCCGAGGGCAGGCAGGACCCCGGCCCCGCTGTCTTTCCCAGGCTGAAAGCTAACACCTGATGAGGACACTAATTGTGGAAGCCGGGGTAGCACAGCAACGTGCAGACCCCATATCCAATAGATACCAAACCGCTGCGCAACTGGGCAGGAGGAGACGCCAGCTGAAGCAACACGTGACGCCCGAGCCTGCGCGTCCACTGCGCCGAACTACAACTCCCGGCATGCGCTGCGGCGCCGCCCTCACGGGCAGGGCCGTCAAGGAGGCGGCCGAGCTGCCCGACCCGCGGGCCCGTCGGGCCCTTCCGCTGTGACAACTTCCCCCAACAGCGAACCGGATATTCTAAGCGCTCCGGGAATATCGCTCTAACGTGCGGTGCCGCTGTCCCTCAGGACCCGCTCGGCAGCGAAACCCTTCCGACTTTCCATCAGGCTTTCGCGCACGGCGCTCCCATAGCGTTAGGCTGGAGGGCGTGGACGTTCCGGCGCGGGAGGACCCCGCCGCGGCCCCGGAAGCGCCTCGTCCGCGGCGGCGGGGGCGCGGCGGTCGCCGTGATGGCCGTGGGGCTGGGCGGCTGACCGCCGGGCCGGGAGCAAACTCAGAGCCCAGAACCTCGGCGGCCGCGGCCGTAGCTCGGCCTTCGTGATGGCTACCTCCGCCGCCTCCTCGGAGCATTTCGAAAAGTTGCACGAGATCTTCCGGGGCCTCCATGAAGACCTCTTAGGGGTGCCCGGGCGGCTGCTGGGGACGGCAGGGACCGGTGAGGCAGGGGCGGGACAGACCGTGGGCAGTGCAACCCCGTGCGGCCGGGCGCCAGTCTCGCCGCCCCTCATCAGACACGCCTCCCGGGGACCCCCCCCCCCCCCGTGGCTTCTTAAAATTCGCATTTTGGGTGGGGAGGAGAGGTCTTTAAATCTGTGATCCTGTGTTCTGGGGAATGGGCTTCTTTCGTAGCTCCCTGTGTATTGTTTTACGCATTTAAAGGCCTTATTCTTGGGGGAGGCCCGTCGTTTCTATCAGTCTGGCAGTAGAGGGGGTGGAACGGGCGTTTGCAAAGAGAAGGGGAAAAAGGGGGAAGAAGCTGCGAGGGAGCGCGGAATCTCACGCTCTCAGCTGTGGAGTCGGGGGTACGTGGGGGAGAGCGCGTCAGCCAGGACGTGGAGGGGTCTGATTGTCCACGCCAGACACTTGGACTTGAGGTGGCGAGTCGGGCGAAGCGTTTCGGGCGGCTGGTTAATGCGGATTTTACTTTCGAGAGAGGGTGCTGGTGGCTGGATAGAGGAGCCGCACAAGAGTGAGGGGCCCGGGCTGGGAGCCCTAGTGGCGGGCGTCCGGGTGCGTGGGTTTCTGGGGAGTTCTGCATCCAAGAGCTGGCTCGGAGGCAGGAGCTGACCGGCCGGAGCGGCTGTGGGGAGCGAGGAGCAGCCGCGCAGGGGCCGGCGCGCTCACCTGCAGGCAGCGGAAGCCCACTTGCCCGGGTGTGTGTGTGAGGGCGGCGGGGGCGCCTGTGGAGCGGACATCACGGGGTCGCGTCCGTTGTAGCCTGACGAAATACGTGGTCTGCCGCGGGGAAGAACAGACCGGGGAACTGGGAGGCAGCGGTGAAGCAGGAATCCTAGGGCCGGGGTTCAGATCTACTTCAGCAGTGTGACCGCGGACACGTTTCTTTAACCAAACTAGTGTCCCCTGCAAAATGGGAATAAACTGAACTGTCTGCTTCTAGGGTTTTTGTGAGGAATAAATGCGTGAATCAGGATAACGCCCCTGACGATAGTAGGCAATTTCTTGTCATTAATATGTGGGGAACTGAGTGTTTCGGGCGAGACTACCAGCTCTGTATACTACCTCTCTTAGCTTGCTCTGCGTTTCCCCCAGATCGCTTAGTCTCTAACAGCGTACTAGACACTCCGCATATTTGTGATAGTTACAGTTGTTTGTCTTCTTTCCCCAGAGTAGTTTTTTTTTTTTTTTTTTTTTTTTTTTTAATTTATTTGAAAGGCAGAGTTAGAGAGAGAGACAGAGAAAAGTCTTCCATCCGCTGGTTCACTCCCCAATGGCCGCAACAGCCAGAGCTGAGCTGATCCAAAGCCAGGAGTCTCCGGGTCTCTCATGTGGGTGCGGGGGCCCAAGGACTTGGGCCATCTTCTACTGCTTTCCCAGGCCACAGCAGGGAGCTGAATCAGAAGTGGAGCAGCCGGGACTCAAACCCATGCTCATCTGGGATGCGTGGCAGGTGGTGGCTTACTTCACAGTGCTGGTCCCCAGAAACTGTTTTTTGTTTGTTTGTTTTTTAATATTTATTTATTTGAAAAAGTTACACAGAGAGGAGAGGCAGAGAGAGAGAGAGATGTCTTCCATCCAATGGTTCACTCCCCACTGGCCACGACGGAGCTGCGCTGATCCGAAGCCAGGAGCCAGGAGTTTCTTCCGGGTCTCCCATGTGGGTACAGGGGCCCAAGGACTTGGGCCATCTTCTGCTTTCCCAGGCCATAGCAGAGAGCTGGATTGGAAGTAGAGCAGCCAGGTCTGGAACCGGTGCCCATATGGGATGCTGATGCTTCAGGCCGGGGCATTACCCCACTGTACCACAGCGCTGGCCCCCAGAAACTGTTTTAACAAGCAGTTTGGTTTAACCACCCACCTGGGGATATTTTTTAAATTTACAAAAGAAAAATTGTGTAGTACCCCCCAAGTAGTTACCATATTCTCACTGCATTTCCATTTCCCTATGAACATGTCTTATTACTATATTTGTCAGAATTAAAGAGCTCACACCCAGTTTCCCTTGTTTTTAAACCCAAACTCTTTTTATCCCTTCCAGCACGCCCAGCCTCTAGTAATCAACATTCAGTGTTCAGATTGAGAGGTTTGGTTTGGTTTTGTTGGTTTTTTAAATTTTAGCTCCCACATACAAGGGAGAACAATGCAGTATGTGTCTGTCTGTGTCTGGCCTTACTTCACACAACATGATGTCCTCCGATTCCAACCATTTTGCTACAAATGACAAGATTTCATTCTTTTTTAAAAGTAACACTTCAGTGTATATACATTCCACATTTTCTTCATCCATTCCTCCCATGGTGGACACCTTGGCTGAGTCGTTACTTTGTCTGTTGTGATGAGCACGGTGGAGCAGGCCCGCTGGGTGAGCTCTGAGTCACTATTGAAGTCAGTGCTGTGTTCGTGTGTTATGTATCCTAAGCGCTTATAGTGTCTGGTGCCTCCTGGATGCTCCATAAATAGCTGTTGAACGATTGATTATATAATTGCTGCGAAGAAGGTACTCATTTATGACTGTTGAGACTCAGTGACTGACTTCTGCTCACGTTTTCATTACTTTTAAGATGGACATCTAGACCCATTAGAACCACAGGAGAGATTTTTTTCCCCATAGTGTACATTCAGTTTCTGCCTTTGAAGGATAACTAAGACTGGGGAATGAAGCCCAGATTCAAACCCTCTGCCCGGGCAGGCTCAACCCCACTCTCTCTTTAACCTCCCCCTCTTCCCATTCTGTCTCCCTTAAAATAAAGTTGTCTTCACTTAAAAGACACAGTGTGGCAGTGCTGGTCCATTAACGTGATAATTATCAATCCATTTACTATTACAGTAAGCACCCACAGCTGTCATTTCTAGTGTTTTGCAACATCTGAAGAAATCCCTCCATATATTTAAGTGCTATTATTTTTTTTTTTATTTTGTTTGTGGTTTTTTTTTGTTTTTCTTCCTGCACTTTTTTGGTTTTTTAAAATTTCATTTAGTTAATTATTTGAGAGGTGGAGTTACAGACAGAGGGAAAGACAGAAAGGTCTTCCATCCGCTGGTTAATTCCTCAGATGGCTGCAGTGGCTAGAGCTGGGCCAGTCCAAAGCCAGGAGCTTCTTTTGGGTCTCCCATGCTGGTGCAGGGGCCCAAGCACTTGAACCATCTTTCACTCCTTTCCAGGCCATAAACAGAGAGCTGGATCAGAAGTGAAGCAGCCAGGACAGGAACCAAAACCCACATGGGATGCCAGTGCTGCAGGCAGAGGCTTAGCCTACTGCACCACAGCTCCGGCCCCAGTGCTGTAATTCCCTAATCTAATTAATAGGTTAAGTGCCTATAGTCATGGTTTCTAGTTTTGGTTTTGCAGTTTCTGAAGACTTCTCTCTGCCTGTCTTTATGAATATGGTGATATCCTTACACGTTTTACATTTTAATTCAATTATATTTCAGTATCTCTACCCAGGACCCCATTATTTTGGGAGCCAGAAAAAATAATCATTAATTTCTTATAGCCTACCAAATTTTAATTACTCTCTTCATATTCTTTGGTGAATTTTTTTTAGATTTATTTATTGAAAGAGTTATGGCCGGCGCTGCAGCTCACTAGGCTAATCCTCCGCCTTGCAGCGCCGGCACACAGGGTTCTAGTCCCGGTTGGGGTGCCGGATTCTTTCCCGGTTGCTCCTCTTCCAGGCCAGCTCTCTGCTGTGGCCCGGGAATGCAGTGGAGGATGGCCCAAGTCCTTGGGCCCTGCACCCCATGGAAGACCAGGAAAAGCACCTGGCTCCTGCCATTGGATCAGGGCGGTACGTGGGGGCATGGCGCCGGCTGCGGGAGGCAATTGGAGGGAGAACAAACGGCAAAGGAAGACCTATGCACAGTACTGGCCCTCTTGATGATTTTTTTTTGCTCTTGGGAATTATAAAAAAATAAAAAAAATTTTTTAATTTTTATTTATTTATTTTTTTTGACAGGCAGAGTTAGAGAGACGGACAGAGAGAAAGGTCTTCCTTCCGTTGGTTCACCCCCCAAATGACTGCTATGGCCAGCAAGCTGTGCCGATCCAAAGCCAGGAGCCAGGTGCTTCCTCCTGGTCTCCCATGCGGGTGCAAGGCCCAAGCACTTGGGCCATCCTCCACTGCACTCCCAGGCCACAGCAGAAAGCTGGACTAGAAGAGGAGCAACCGGGACAGAATCTGGCGCCCCAACCGGGACTAGAACCCCAGGGTGCCAGCGCCACAGGCAGAGGATTAACCAAGTGAGCCGGCCTCTTTTTTTTTTTTTTTTTTTAATTGAGGTAGGGTTAGAGAGAAAGGTCTTCCATCCGCTGGTTCACTCCCCAAAGGCTGCAACAGCTGGAGTGGGGCCGATCTGAAGCCAGGAACCAGGGACTTCTTCTAGGTCTCCCATGTGGGTGCAGAGGCCCAAGCACTTGGGCCATCTTCTGCTTTCCCAGGCCATGAACAAGGAACTTGATCGGAAGGGGAGCAGCCGGGTCTCAAACTGGCGCCCATATGGGATGCTGGCACTGCAGGCAGTGGCTTTACCTGCTACGCCACAGCGCCCGCCCCTCAAGATTTACTTTCAAAATCAGTGGTTCCTATTTATCAAACCCTTCTCATGCCTGGCCCTTGATAAGTGCTTGCTATGTGTGTTCTCTCTTTTAACCCTTTCAAACTACCCTGTAAGGTCAGGGTTATATAACCTTGTTATATTCCCTTTTTACTGATTGAGGAAACAGGTTAAGAAAGACCTGATGGTTTTAACTCCTGTGTAGTGGGAGAGATCAAGTAACCTCTTGTGGTCTGCAGAGAGGATGTTGGCCCTAGAAATGTCCAGTGGGGCACCAACAGCAAAAAACCACGTATGTTTGAGATCCTTGTGGAACTGAAGTTATTTCCACGAGTCTAAAGGGACGAGAGCATTTCTGAGCTGGTAATTCGAATCTCCACAAGGAAGACACGCTGCTTACGTGGCCAAGCCTTTAGGTAGGCTTTCTGTAGCTCTGTTTTTCAGAGCTGGCTGTATTCCTTTATCCCAGGTCCAGGAGATGGTGCCACCATGCACCCAGTTTACCAAACAAGACAGTTATTCCCAGGGCGAGTCCCTCACACATAATTGGTTTGGCAGGCCTATGGGGCAGGAGACCACGCTGTTTGGAGTGGCCCGTGCTACCCAGCATGGAGTCTTGCTGTTTAGAAGTTGATGGCAGCCTTAATTCTCATTCTCTTAAAAAAAAAGTAAAAGGTTCTTCAATGTTATTTTTTAATAAATTATACCAGTTTCTAAAAGCTGTATCCCAGGAGCACAGACGTGCCTGTCAGTTGTGTGCCGTAGCATGGAGAAACATGGGCGTGGGTGTCAGGAGAGTCTCCTTTGAGGGCCAGTGCTGCTGTAGACTCACTCCTGTGGCCGCGACACTCTGTTTCTCCAGCTCGAGTCTCCTTGGCACAGAACTCAAGATGGTTTGCCATCATCTGTTTTTTCTTTTAGATCTTAGGCGCCCATAAAGGATCTCATAAATGTGACGTTCTTTGTGTTGTTTTCAGAGGAGGAAGTGTGTGTTCTGTAAAATCAGAAAGTGGAATATTTCCAACTTTCAGAAGATGGCAGAGGGCAGCTAGTCAAGGAGAGTTTCTAGAATTTGCCTTGTGGAATGCCGATTTTCTTATCCATTAACAAAGGAGATAAAGGAGACTTTCGCAGGAACACTTGTAGGAGACTGAGCCTGGGAGAGTGTGTGTGCAGCACTGCTTCGTGCTGATCGGCTTGGGTCGGGAGAGCAACTGCTGGAGTTCGGAGGTGTGCCGATTCAGAGTGCTGGCAGTCAGCTTCGCTGCCGCGGCAGCTTATTACAGAACGCCAGGGTGCTGCCGCCTGGAAGTCGCCACTCGGGACTGCAGGGATCGCTGTTTCGTTGCTGGTGGCTGAGGACTTAGCCCCGTCAGGAGCGGTAATGGCCACGTTGCTGATACGTACCACTTGCCTTGGCTGAACATTCTTCTGTTTTCTAAAAAAAAAAAAAAAAAAAAAAAAGGAAGTGGTGGGTTTGTAAGCAGTGTGAAGGTGTGAAGAGATAGCACACCTGGAGCGCCCCGTGTGTGTGCAGGCAGCGTCACGTGAGAATGAGTGGGTCAGAGAACAGGGGGAAAGGCTCTCAGAGCAGCAGCATCTAAAGAGGTTTAAAGTTCCAGAACTATGGACACAGTAAATGTCCCTGTTCTGGAGGAGTCTGATGTCAAGTTGAGAATATAAAACAAATATACCCAAAATAATTTATGATCATTTGAAAACCAGACAGCTGGCCTGTTAGTTGCTGTTGTGACTAACAAAATGTAAACTCGTATGAAGCATTACTTCTTATGTAGGGTTGGGTTCAAAAGTCAGGGCCTAAGATGAAGATCAGGATAGGCAAAATTATCCAAGAAAAGTCTCAGGACAGCAGAACAGTTACCCACATGCCATCTCTCCATAAGCCCAGCTCATCTGTTTTCTTTAGTATTGGAAAAGGTTGCTCCTCAGCTGGTGACTGTACTGGCATGTGTTTAGGAATCACACTGGAAGAAAAATCCATAACTTAAAAGACTATAACCCTGATCTGCTACAGCATGGGTAACCTTCCAGGCATGCTAAATGAAATGAGTCAGACACTTAGGACAAGTCTCAATGACTCCACTAATATGTTGGACCTAGGGTTACTCTTTCATAGAATGCATAGTTAGTGTTTAATGGGTGTAGCATTTTAGTTTGAGATGGTGAAAAAGTTCTAGAGATAGATATAATTGGGGATGGTTGCACTGAGTTATGTACTTAATGGTCATAGTGGTCAGTCTTACTACCATTAAGAAAATAAAAGCTGTGAAGGTAATTCCAAAGGATGAGTTCAAAAAACATTGTAAGCAAAGGTGACTCTGCGGTAATAAGTAGATTGTGGGTAGATTTCCAGGGAGAACTTTGATTTGAATGTATACATTTAAAAAAGAACATACACAGCTGTTTCTAAATGGGGCTGCTTTTATTATTGTTATTTGGGAGGCAGAGGAGGTGAGAGTGAGCTCCCATTTGCTGTTTGGTTCCCAGATATCCACAGTGATGCTGGGCTGGATCAGACACAAGCCAGGAGCCAGCACCACAAGCCAGGTGTCCCACACGGTGTCAGGAAGCCAGTCCCTTGAGTCATTATGGCTGCCTCTCAGGGTTTGCATTTCCAGGAAGCTGGAGTCAGGAGTTGAACCCAGATGCTCCAGTGTGGGAAATGGGCTTCTGGACTACTAGGCTAAACACCTGTCACAATGGGGTTGATTTTTGTTAATATGAGGGTACATCAGTAATTAAATGGGAAAATGGAATTAAAAGATAAGTTTAGGGGCCGGTGCTGTGGCACAGCAGGATAAAGCCCTGGCCTGAAGCGTCAGCATCCCATATGGGCGCCGGTTTGAGACCCGGCTGCTCTACTTCTGATCCACCTCCCTGCTGTGGCCTGGGAAAGCAGTAGAAGATGGCCCAGGTCCTTGGGCTCCTGCACCCGCATGGGAGACCCAGAAGAAACTCCTGGCTCCTGGCTTTGGATCAGCGCAGCTCTGGCTGTTGCGGCCGTCTGGGGAGTGAACCAGTAGATGGAAGACCTCTCTCTCTGTCTCTACCTCTGTAACTTTCAAATAAAGTTTGGTGCAAAAAATATTTGAAATCCATGAATAGTTTTTTTTATAACACGTATTTTCCATGAACTTTTTGAAGTGCCCATGAATAAAGAGATGGCCCACCTCTCATTTTATAGCCAAGAAAAGAGGTCAGGTTCCAAAGTGCTGAAGAAAACTATCCAAGCCTACATGTTGAGGCAGACCCAAAGCTAGTACCAGAACCTAAGCCCACGACTGATCGCTCTCCCCAGATGTTTCCTGGGTAACAGCATTCCAGTATCCTCTTAGTATTTTTGCCATGTCCAAGTACCATTTTTACTTTTAATTGTTTTCTTTACATAAACTTATTTCACGTAAAACACATCTATTTAACATGTAAAGTTAGAAGGAAACGGTATCATATTTTAAATGGAAAATCTATATAATCTTATTGGAAAAATTACAGTGAAAGCAAAAGAACACTGTTTTACTTAGTTACTGCTCTGGAGCTAGAACCTATATTTGTTAAAGGAGGAGTTTAGTAATTTTACATATAAAGACATACCAGCACCAAAATAACGTGTAGGGTTGAAAAAGGGAATGACACTCATGGTGCATGTCATTACCCATGCCACCACCAGGGGGAGACAAGCACCACACCCTGCAGCCTCCCAAAGGAGCAGACTTGCAGAAAAGCAGTAACTAAGAGTTGTTTTTTTTTTTTTTTTAATATTTTATTTATTTGAAAGAGTTACACAGAAAGAGAAGGAGAAGCAGAGAGAGAGAGAGAGGTCTTCCACCTGCTGGTTCACTCCCTGATTGGCCACAATTGCCAGGGCTATGCCGGCCAAAGCCAGGAGGCTGGAACTTCTTCCTTGTCTCACGTGGGTACAGGGGCCCGAGCACTTGGGCCGTCTCCTGCTGCTTTCTCAGGTGCAATAGCAGGGAGCTGGATTAGAGCTGGAGCAGCTGTGTTTCAAACTGGCACCCATAAGGGATGCTGGCATCGCAGAGGGTGGTTTTACCTCTACGCCACAACACCAGCCCCAATCATAGGTTTTTAAATGCCTTTGGGGTGAATAAATACTGCTACCCCCACCAGGCCAGGAATGGGAAGTTTATTCTAAGCTAAAGGAATGGCCTATTTACAAATGTATGGAAGCAGTAATGAGACTTAGAAACTTACCTGTCTTTTCTAGAAGAGAAGAAGAAGTTGATCAGAGATTTTGATGAAAAGCAGCAAGAAGCAAATGAAACCGTAAGAGCAAGTCTTTGTTTCTTTTTCTACCTGGTATTTCCAGAAGTAATGCTATGACCTGATTGCAGATTAACTGTCACTGTCTATTGATTTTGATTTTTACCATTTCTCACTAAATTAGTGAGGCAACTAAAGGGGGTGGGTGTTGAGGGAGTTGACAAACACAAATGGGTGAAGCTTGAATACTCTCCTGAAGTAGTTTTGATAACATCTTCCTGATGTGAGTAGTAAGAGTATTCTCAAGCTTTTAACTGCGTGGTCTCTAAATCTCTAGCCATTAAGATGGTGATTTTTTTTTTTTTTTTTTTAAGATTTATTTCTTTGAAAGAGTTACAGAGAGGCAGAGAGAGAAAGAGAGAGAGAGGTCTTCCATGTGCTGGTTCACTCCACAGATGGCTGCAGTGGCTGGAGCTGCACCAATCCAAAGCCAGGAGCCTCCTCTGGGTCTCTCACGTGGGTGCAGAGGCCCGAAGATTTGGGCCATCTTCTGCTTTCCAAGGCCATAGCAGAGAGCTTGGTCGGAAGTGGAGCAACCAGGACTTGAACTGGCACCCATATGGGATGCTAGCACTGTAGGCAGTGACTTTACCCAATATGCCACAGTGCCAGCCCCTTAACATTGTTTTTCTGCCTTTTTTTTTTTTTTAAATTGATTTATTGGAAAGGCAGAGAAATCTTTCATCTTCTGGTTCACCAAATGGCTGTAATAAACAGAGCTAGACTGGGCCAGGCCAAAGCCAGAACCAGGAACTCCATCTGAGTCTCCCATGTGAGTGGCATGGGAGCATAAGCAGAAAGCTGGATTGGAAGCAGCAGAGTAGCTGAAACTCAGACCAGCATTCCAGTATGGAATCCTGGCATCGCAAGTGGTAGCTTGACCCAGTGTACCACAGTTACTGTTCTTTGTTAAACTTTTACTGTCACAGAAGCTGTGGCCCACAGGTGGATCTAGCCATGTTCCGTCCTGTCCTGAAAGACAAAATAGTAGCCAGATGTGGTTCCTTAATAGGACGAATTCCCAGATAGGATCTAAAGCTTGTCATAGTACAGCTTATTAAGGGCAGAGGTCCTAAATGTGGAGCCAGTGCACAGCATTATTAATTTAACAATTAACACTTTATTTATGACATCAGTGATCACCCAAGGCTTTTATCATGAGCTGCCAAGGCTATGGAAGCCTTTTGAGTCCACAAACTCCATCAGTATTTAGACAGGGCCATAAGCAAAGTGGACGTTCTCTCCTCCCTTCAGAGAAAGGTACCTCCTTTGATGGCCCCTTCTTTCCACTGGGATCTCACAAAGATCCTTCATGTAGATCATTTGTTACCACAGTGTCTTGGCTTTCCATGCCTGAAATGCTCTCATGGGCTTTTCAGCCAGATCCAAATGCCTTACAGGCTGATCCTGAGGTCAGAGTGCTAATTAGAGCATTTGTCATTCTGTAAGTCTGCTGTGTGGCCTGCTTCCCATGTTGGATCACTGAATCAGTTTTAAAAAGGACCAGGCCACCAGGCTGTGGAGACCATCTCCTTTATAATGGGAGTACTAGAATCTCTTAATACCTTCTTAGTACAGGTGAATATACCCGTAATACCCGTTTTGTGACCAGTCGTCTTGGTAGCATAAAAAAAAAAAAATCTTTTCCCTACCACCGTTCTGTTTGGTGCTTAGATGCTTTATTTCTCAGAACTTAGAAAAATTAACAAAGCTACTCTGGTCACCCAGGCTGATGAGTAATATAGGCCCTCTTGTGAACCTAGCTAGGTGTTTTATCTATCCCACAAAGGGGAAAGCAGTCTGCTCTGTGGTCCCTGGTTATCTTCTGCATGAAGACAAACATAACTTTTTCAGAAACAGGAGGAAGTGAATAATGCAAGTGCCAAACCCTGTCATTTTTACTGTAGACCGCAAAGTGCTCCTCTTTTTAATATTTTTTTAAAAGGCAGAGCAAGAGGGAGAGATCGATCTTCTATCTGCTGGTTCATGATTCTCTCCCACCCCCCAAAATGGCCAAAACAGGTTAGGCTAGTCCAAAGCCAAGAGCTAGGAACTCCATCCTGGTCTCTCATATCGGGGCCGGTCCCAAGCACTTGGGCCATCTTTGGCTGTCTTCAAAGGCACCTTAACCGGGAGCTGGATCAGAAGCAGAGCAGCCAAGACTTGAGCTGGCACTCTGGTACGGTATGCCGGCATTGCGAGCATCACCTTAACCCACTGTGCCACAAGGCTAGTCCTCACAGGACTTCTTGGCCGCACTGTTGAGCCAACCAGGCTGAAAACTAGTATATTGAGGAGAGCTAAGAAGTTGATTTTTGATTCCTGACTCCTCTTATTATGTAATCTTGAGCAGTTTTTTTTTTTAAGTCTTATATGTAAGATGGAGAGAGTATTTCCTATTGAATCGATTTATTAAGGATAAAATGACAAAATGTAAATACTTAGTAAGCTATAGGAGGGCCAGCGTTGTGGCACAGTGGTTGAGCTGCCACTTAGGATGCTGTCATCCCATATCGAAGTGCCAGTTCAAATCCCAGCCAGTCCGCCTCCCACCCAGCTCGCTGCTAATGTGCCTGGAAGCACAATAGAAAATGGCACAAATACTTGGATCACTGCCACCCTTGTGGGAGACCAGATGGAGTTCTGGGCACCTGGCTTCGGCCTGGCCCAGCCCAACATTTTGGTCATTTGAGGTGCTTCTGTTTTGTTTTCTCATCAGATTTTTTTTTTTTTTTTTTAAAGATTTATTCACTTGAAAGGCACAGTTAGAGGGAGCAACAGAGAGAGAAAGATCTTCCATCGGTTGGTTCACTCCTCAAGCAGCCACAACCACTAAGGCTAGACCAGGCAGAAGCCAGGAGCCTGGAACGCCATCTGCATCTCCCATGTGGGTGGCAGGGATCCAGGCACTTGGACCATCTCGTCTGTCTTCTCAGGTGCATTAGCAGGGAGCTGGATGGGAACTGGAGCAGCCAGGACTGGAATCGGTATCCATGTGGGATGCCGATGTTGCAGGTGGCTTAACCTGCTGCGCCACAACACCAGCTCCCATCAGATTTTTTTTAATGCTTGTGAGATACTCAGATGAGTTAAGCATGCCAGGTGCAGTTCTGCCTCATGAAGCATTTGGCTGAGGACGTACGTGGGGCACTCTGTGGTTTGATTACTCTAAACCAGGCCCATCCCCCGAGGAACCAGGCCATCTACTCATGACTGACTTTCTGCCTTCCCAGCTGGCAGAGATGGAAGAGGAATTACGTTACGCACCCTTGTCTTTCCGCAACCCGATGATGTCTAAGCTTCGAAATTACCGGAAAGACCTTGCCAAACTCCACCGGGAAGTGAAAAGCACACCTTTGACAGCCACGCCTGGGGGCCGAGGAGACATGAAGTACGGAACATATGCCATGGAGAATGAGCACATGGTAAGCTCCAGCTGTTCTTTATCAGGGCCTGGGAGACAAGAATGAACCACGTTGTAGAGCATAGCCTACATTCTATGTCCTAGATTGTTGTCTTGTGTATACCCTTCTCCTTTTTCCTGTATCCAGTCTCCTCCTCCCCGGGTCCCCACCTAAACAAATCTTTCTAAACCATACACATACCTATTTATCTCCATGCTTCATGTATGAGGGGATCTCCAACAAGTTCATGAACAATGGAGTTGTGCAGTGAAGTCCTCGCGTCCCGTGTCTGAGTGCCTGGTTTGAGTCCCTGCTACTCTGCTTCTGACCCAGCTTCCTGCACGCCCTGGGAAGCAGCAGATGATGGCAGAAGTGTTTGGGTCCCTACCATGGATGTCAGAGACCTGGATAAAGTTCCTGGCTTCTGGCTTTGGCCTATCTGAACTCCAGCTGATGTGGACATTTAGGGATTGAACCAGCAGGTGGAAGATTTAATTCTGCCTTTCAAAGGAATAAAAGTTTTCCCTTTTTTTAATATAATAGATTTATTTATTTTTTATTTATTTGACAGATAGAGTTAGTGTGAGAGAGACAAAGATCTTCCTTCCATTGGTTCACTCCCCAAATGGCCACTACGGCCGGAGCTACACTGATCCGAAGCCAGGAGCCAGGTGCTTCCCCCGGGTCTCCCACGTGGGTGCAGGGCCCAAGCACTTGGGCCATCCTCCATTGCCCTCCTGGGACACAGCAGAAAGCTGGACTGTAAGAGGAGCAACCAGGACTAGAACCCGGCGCCCATTTGGGATGCCAGTGCCACAGGCAGAGGATTAGCTAAGTGAGCCACGGTGCCGGCCCCCAATGAATAAGTTTTCTTAGTTTTTTCGCAGTACGTGCTTTCCATGAACTTTTTGAAGACATATATATAAAACAATGCTTTGTGTGTAGCAGCATGTAAGTGAAACCTGTTATTATATCCGGACTCTGTATCCCTGACCCATTAACGTAATTTCTTATCTTCTTGAGCTTTTATGTTTTCAAATGAGTTTTAGAGTCACTGTCTCAAATATGCCAAAAAAAATTCAGTTTGACTTTTTGTCTTATGTTAATGATTGAGTGGCAGAGAGACAGAGACAGAGATCTCCCATGCTGGCAACAGCTGGGGCTGGGCCATGCTAAAGCCAGGAGCCAGAAACTGAATCCATGTCTCCCATGTGGGTGGCAGGAACCCAAGCACACGACCCATTTCATGCATTAGCCTTCATTTCATGTGTACATTAGCAGAAAGTTGGAATTGGGAGTCGGGACTCAAATCCAGCACTTGGATATAGGATATGGGTATTCCAAACAACATTTTAACCACTGTACCAAACACCTGTCTTCATTTAGGTTTTTATCAGAGCATTGTTACAAAACCAATCCAAGCCTTCCTTCACATTAATATCAAGATGACACATAGAGTGGAGAATGCAGGATGCTTCCTAAGAAGGGACTAATACTTTGTTTTGTTGTAATGGGAAGTGAACCAGATTGCCTTTCTTGCCTTCAAGATTCTTATAAAATTGGACTCATTGAAAAATCTGTATTCTGAAACCATCCAGAGATGCTGAACAGTTGGATTCTTTTCATTTTTTTTTTTTTTTGACAGGCAGAGTGGACAGTGAGAGAGAGAGACAGAGAGAGAAAGGTCTTCCTTTGCCGCTGGTTCACCCTCCAATGGCCGCCGCTGCAGCCGGCGCACCGCGCTGATCCTGGCAGGAGCCAGGAGCCAGGTGCTTTTCCTGGTCTCCCATGGGGTGCAGGGCCCAAGCACCTGGGCCATCCTCCACTGCACTCCCTGGCCATAGCAGAGAGCTGGCCTGGAAGAGGGGCAACCGGGACAGAATCCGGCGCCCCAACCGGGACTAGAACCCGGTGTGCCGGCGCCGCAAGGTGGAGGATTAGCCTATTGAGCCACGGCGCCGGCTTGGATTCTTTTCTACAAATGCAGTACAAGATAGAAATTGGCAAGTAGCATGGAGTAGAAATGGAAAAGGGGGTCCACCAGTGCAGACTGAACATGTGTAGAAAGGCTGGTAATGTAATTATAAACAAGTTACATTTCATAATGCATCTGGATTATAGTTTGAGACATTCAGAATGATACTGTCTTGACACTGCTATTGTTAAAACTAGACATTGTGGAGCCAGCATTGTGACATAGCGGGTAAAGCCTCTGCCTGCAATGCCAGCATCCCATATGGGCACTAGTTCATGTCCTATCTGCTCCACTTCTGATCTAACTCCCTGTCAATGTGCTTGGGAAAAGCAGTGGAATATAGCCCAAGTACTTGGGCCCCTGCCACCCACGTGGGAGACCTGAAAGAACCTCTTGGCTTCAGTCTGGCCCAGTACTAGCCGCTGTGGCCATCTGGGGAGTGAACCAGCAGATAGAAGTCTCAGTCTCTCTCTCTCTCTCTCTAAATCTGACTTTCAAAATACATACATTTTTTTTTTTTTTTTTTTGACAGGAGAGTTGGAGAGAGAGACAGAAAGGTTTTCCTTCCGTTGGTTCACCCCCTAAATGGCCACTACGGCCAGCGTGCTGATCCAAAGCCAGGAGCCAGATGCTTTCTCCTGGTCTCCCATGCAGGTGCAGGGCCCAAGCACTTGGGCCATCCTCCACTGCCTTCCTGGGCCACAGCAGAGAGCTGGCCTGGAAGAGGGGCAACTGGGACTAGAACCCGGGGTACCGGCGCCGCAGGCAGAGGATTAGCCAAGTGAGCCACGGCCCCGGCCACAAAATATATACACTTCTTAAGACATTATGAGAATGATGTAAAAATTTTAAGTGGATGCACAAGGCATCACACGCTGACACTAGAGGGATGAGCATTATGGTGCAATGGATTAAGCTGTCAGTGTTGGATGTCTGGGTTTGAGTCCTGCTTCTGCTTCCAATCCAGTTTCCTACTAATTCACACCCCGGGAGGCAAGAAGTGATGACCCAGTACTTGGGTCCCTGCCACCCACACAGGAGGTCAGGATAGAGTTCCTGGCTTCTGGCTTCAACCCGGCCCTTATTTGAAAGATACAGAGATCTTCCATCTGTTAGTTTAATCCCAAAATGGCTGCAACAGCCCTGGCTGAAGCCAGGAGCCCAGAACCGTGTGGCCATCATCATCTGCCTTCCCAGATGCATTAGCGGGGAGCTGGAGGAAAGCAGAGCAGCTGGGACTGGAGCTGGCGCTCTGATACAGGATGCCAGCACTGCAGGTGGTGCTTACCCTGCTGTGCCACAGTGCAACCCCTCAAAGTAAACATTTTTTAAAAAGCAGCAGCAGCTGACCTAGGAGACTGGGAAGAGGTGGGCAGGTACAACTTGTTAAAGTGACTTTGGTAATTTGTTACCCAAAAAAGGGGAGAATAAGTCCAAACAATAACTTTTCTTTAAAATTAGCTTCAGAAATTTTGTAAAGACATAATTTAGGTAGACACAGGTTTAGTAGTAGGGGTACTGTTTTATTTGAAAGGCAGAGTTAGAGAGGCAGAGAGAAGTTGGTCTTCCATCCACTGGTTCACTCCCCAGATAGCCACAACGGCCAGAGCTGCACTGATCCGAAGCCAGGAGCCAGGAGCTTCTGGGTCTCCCACATGAGTGCAGGAGCCCAAGGGCGCGGGCCATCTTCCACTTTTTTCCTAGGCCATAGCAGAGAGTCAGACCTGAAGAGGTGCAGCTGAGTTTCAAACTGCCACCCATATGGGCTGTCAGCACTGCAGGCAGCGGCTTTACCCACTATGCTGCAGTGCCGGCCCCAAAACTGTTCCAAATCTGTCTCTTTCACTAAAATTTTTTCTTCCTCTGAGCTAATGTAACGTGGCTTATTTGGACCCGATTCAGTGGTTTCCTCGTCCACTGGTCTGTGTACTTTCCTGTGTGAAAATGTCTTGTCCCTTCTGCTCTGGGAGCTTATCTTTTGGCTTCTAGATGGTTTTCAGCTGGTGTTCACCTGCTCTGTAATAGGCCTGTGAGCTGGGCCCATTTTGACTGCACTTTGAGTAGCTAAAGACTTAGAGCTGCACCCTTTTTGGTCAGTGGTTAATTCTGGCTGACAAAGGCTACTTTTGTCTTCTTGCTGCCCGTGTTTTGGATTATAGGTAGAGAAAATCTTCATTGAGGGCACTGGAGAAATTAGGGCAGCTGGGGAAACTTATGTGAGATGAAATCCACTGTTTGGCAGCTTTGAAAAAAATTTTTTTTTTTTTTTTTTAAGATTTGAGGGGCCAGCACTGTGGTATAGCAAGTAAAGCTGCTGCCTGCAGTGCCAGCATCCCATATAGGTGCCAGTTCAAGACCCTGCTGCTCCACTCCTGATCCAGCTCTCTGCTATGGCCTGGGAAAACAGTGGAAGATGGCTCAAGTGGTTGGGCCCCTGCACCCACATGGGAGACCCAGAACAAGCTCCTGGCTTTGGATCAGCCCAGCTCCGGCAGTTCTGGCCATTTGGGGAGTGGACCAGTGGATGGAGGATCTCTCTCTGCCTCTGTAACTCTTTTTTTTTTTTTTTTTTAAGATTTATTTGTATGAAAGGCAGAGTTACAGAGAGGTCTTCCATCCTCTGGTTCACTCCTCAAATGGCCACAATGCCTAGGGCTGGGCCAGGCCAGAGCCAGAAGCTTCTTCCAGGGCTCCCATGTGAGTGCAAGCCAAGCACTTGGGCCATCCTCCACTGCTTTCCCAGGCGCACTGGCAGGGAGCTGAATTGGAAGTGGAGCAGCTGGGACTTGAACTAGCTCCCATATGGGATGCTGGCTCTGCAGACAGTAGCTTAAGCCACTACACCACAGTGGCGGCCCCAAGTTTTACCTCAGGCCAAAACAACAACAAAAACTTTTGAGCACACCAAGAGTGTAGCCACATAATTTTCTAGAATGTGGGAGTGTCCCAGACTTCTGAATGATTTCTTTATGTGCAAGAGAATAATTCACTCATGGCCATGGGATCCTCAGTGAATTATTTTTCTAGAGCTGCAGAATTTAGTTGGTTTGTTTATGGCACCATTAAAGTTAACAGGCTCCATGCGTTCTCAGGTAGCTCCTGTACCTCTGTGATCTGGGCTGCTCTCTCTCAGAAGGTGCTGGTGAACCAGTTCAGACTCGTCACAGACAGAGCTGTGTTTTGTTTAATCCACCTTTCCTTCCCAAGTGTAACAAGCAGTGGAGTGGCAGGTAACTGTGATCCTGTGGATTGGATTCCAGGTTCTGCTTTAGCTGTGACCTTGAACAGGATCTTATAGTTCATTAGAAGCAGCATCTTGAATTCCATCGTCAGGGTAATGAAAATTATTGTTCACTGTATCCTTTCTTACACAAGGAAGGTCATAAGGAATGTGCTGGCATTAATTTATAATGGAAAAAGTATAACTTTTCTTTCCCATACTCCCGTCAGAATCGGCTTCAGTCTCAAAGGGCATTGCTTCTGCAAGGCACTGAAAGTCTGAACCGAGCCACCCAAAGTATTGAGCGTTCTCATCGGATTGCCACAGAGACTGACCAGATTGGCTCAGAAATCATAGAAGAGCTGGGGGAGCAACGAGAGCAGTTGGAACGTACCAAAGGCAGAGTAAGTCTGGGCAATGGGAATGTAGGGTGGGCGCAGTACACCTGGATGCCATGCTGAGGCCTGCAGCTACAGCATTTTTAGATTTAGGGAGTAATTTTTAGGTACTAATTTTTCAACTTGGCTTTGTTTAGTTGAGGAGTAATTTTACCCCTAATATTTAGATGTCATTGGAAATCATTTTATACAAGGGGAAAAGGACGGAAGGAACCCGATTCTGCATTTATAAAAATCTTAGCCACTCCATTTATATCTATAGTTTCTGTATTGTCTGTCTTTGACAAGAATGTCAAAAAGTACTTAAAAATCTCAGATTGGTAGCTTTGAATCCTTATTTTCTTATACATCTGATGGTATAATCTGCTATTATGAAGACATCTACTTTACAAGGGTGCTTCAAAAAGTTCATAGAAAATGGAATTAAAAGGGGACTAGCATTGTGGAATAGCAGATAAAGCCACCACATGTAACACCAGCATCCCATATGGACACTGGTTGGTGTCCCAACTGCTCCACTCCTGATCCAGTTCCTGCTTAATGGCCTGGGAAAAGCAGCAGAAGACAGCACAGGTGTTTGGCCCCTGCCACCCACACCAGAGTCCTAGATGAAGCCCCTGGCTTTGGCCTGGCCTGTGTGGCCTTCTGGGGAGTGACCAGCGGATGGAGAATCTTTAACTCTGACTTTCAAATAAGTAAAATCTTTAACAAAAAGGGAGTTCAAAGTATGAATTTATTTTGGTGCAAAAACTTTCAGGGACTTCTAATCTGTTACTCTAAGAAGCTCTGAAACATAACTTGTTTCTTCCTTTCCGTGAATGAGTTAATCCATACAGAATTTTAACTAGTGCCTTTGGAATGCTATAATTTTTAATAGCATGAGGAAAATTCAAACAAACATAATTGTAGCCAAGATTTGGACAGGAAAATATCTGCGTACTACCTACAATTCTCCATTCTTAGAGCAGTGAAAATTCACAAGCAAGCTTTGGAGAACGCAGCTTGCTTACAGGTTGTGTGGACTGGTTGAATTTAGAAGCTAAGAGATCAGCTTACCAAAGCTACTGGGAATGGGAACAGGTGGCAAATGGCATCCATTTAAATACCCTCTTGCTCTCTAGGTTAGAAACGGTAGCTGAAAGGGAAAGGTTCTTGGAGCCAGTTCCTTTTATAGTTCAATGCACCTTTATCTTAAAGGGGCAAAGAAAAAAAAAAAAGGAAAACCAGATTCTAAAAGTGGTAGCCCACCAACTTATAAAAACAAACATCACTCAGTAGGCTTTCCTGGAATTTGGCTGATGAAATTCAAATCTTAAATTGCTCACAGGTTGCATCAGTCACTGGCTGGGGACATTCAAAGCCTTCCTCTTCTGAAGAGCCAAGGCACGGGGTTAGCTTAGTCCATCCCCCAGCAACACTGGGATCTCCTTGATGAGCGCTAGAGCAGCTTGTCCTTTCCAGGTTTTCCTGCCAGTATCCAGAGGCAGTCATGCTGTGTATTTACTTTTGTTTTGGGGGGTGGGATTTTTCAACATAAACCCTGTAGTGCCTACCCTTAGTTGAATATTCAGTTCTACAGCATGCACTTTTGAAAAGGAAGTAATTGCTATTTTCTCTTCTCAGCTGGTAAACACAAGTGAAAACCTGAGCAAAAGTCGAAAGATTCTCCGTTCAATGTCCAGAAAGTAAGTTTTAAAATAAGGAGTAACAATTTAACTCTTACCTTCCAAGCAAGAAAGCTTAAAACAGTAACTTACTTGAAAGGGTCCCAAATAAAGCATCTCAGGACTTGATGCCATGTAGTCCCCCTCTGCTCAGTACCTCCCAGCACTTCATGAGAAAGTAGGGGCTGTGGTCTTGGGTAGTCTGCTATCCCAGTATAAGATCCCGTGTTAAAAGTAATCCACTCTCACTTGGAGCAGTGTACATGTTGACTGCTGACGGGACTCAAGTCCCAGTTTATGTTCCTTACAGAAGATGACACCTGGGAATAACAGCTCTGTATGTTTGACAGCTTCATTAGAAAAGCATTTGTTGCTATTGTTAAGTCCTTGTTTTTGGCTCTGCTTGCCCTTCATGAGAGTTGGCCCCTTTTCTCAAAGTTTTGCCTTATGAGCAAGAACTAGACTTTAAAACAGAACCCTACAGGAAAGCAATTTTTTTAAAAAAGATTTTGAGAGGGAGAGACAGATTCTCCATCCGCTGGTTCACCCCCCCACAAATGGCAAGGGCTGGGCCAGGAGCTTCTTCCCAGTCTCCAGTGTGGGTGCAGGAGCCCAACACTTGGACCATCTTCCACTGCTCTCCCAGGCCAGGAGCTGGATCAGAAGTGGAGTAGCACCGGGCACCCATATGGGATTCTGGCATTGCAGGTGGTGGCTTAATCCATTATGCCATAATGCTAGTGCCAGAAAAGGAATTTTTAAGTTAAAGTTCCTAGAATTTTTATATAAAAAAAGACATTCTTGTATTTTGTTAACGCTGTCTACCTCATGACCACAAGTTATCCCTAGGTTATGGCTAACAAGCCTCATGAGGTGTTGCCTACTCATTAAAGAACCTTCGAAGTACTTAGTGCTAAGTGACTGCATGATGAAACTCGATGGGCCTTACAACCCCAAAATACTCAGATAGGAAGAAATAAGGTTATGAGGATTCTGACTACTCCACTCTGGCTTCTCTTCTTAGAGTGATAACCAACAAGCTGCTACTTTCCATTGTCATCCTGCTGGAGCTGGTGATCCTGGGAATCCTGATCTATTACAAATTCTTTCACAAGCATTGAACTTTCTGAGTGGAGGAGTGTGGACCAGAACTTTGACCCTGTGAATGAAGCATGTTACTGCTGTGAACATGCTGTGTAGCCGGAGTGTGGGAGGAGGGGGGGAAGAACAGCGACAAGACGAGTGATATACCAAGGTAATAAATGCTGTTTATGACCCCTTTAAATGTACATAGTACCATAACATGTTCATACCTGTGGACTGGGAAAAATACATTTGCAGTAGGATTATTGGTCACCAAAATGCAGAGGGGCACCTGTACCGTTGTGAGAATGCGCAGATGTGCCCATTAAGGCAGTGCTGACCCAGACAACCCCGTCAGTCTGTCCCCTCAAGTGCCTGCGGTTCTGGAATGCCCGTTGTGAAAGACCGTCAGTGCAGTGTCTCCTAAATTCTCACGCGCTCTGCATTTTCCGATTCGTGTGGTGAGCTGGGTGGAGGAAGTTGCTCATAGACGGTGTGTCCTCCTTCCCTTGTCTGACCAAAACTTGAAGCAATCACATCCACCGCCAGGCTAGCTGTGGCCTTCGCCTCTTCGTCTGAAGCAGCTAACCGAGGATTGACTTCAACCAGGTCCAGTGCTGACAGCAACCCTGGGAGAGCAGAGTGCGACAGAACCTCAGAAAGTCCCCTAGCTGCCACTCATGAGGGTCATCGCGCCTGGGCAGGAAGAAAAGCCCGGGAAGACGAGAAGCATTTTCTACTATAAGGTCACCTCTTGGGCCTCATCCTCTTGGCCATGACTTTAAAATAAGGAAATAAATCATTCTTTTTCTGCTAACGTAGTAGTGCAGCCGTTAGGCTTTCTGAATAAGGAAAGGGAGGGGACAGAATGGTGTTTCACCTGCTTGTTGGGAAAATGTGTGCTGTTTCCAGCATGACCAAAAACCTTCCAGATGCCCTCGAAGTATCAAGGCAGAGGAATCTCATTCTGGGAACTCAGTGGTGTGTTTGTCTCTTACAGCACCAGGCCATGTGCCCTGAAACACGGTCACTACCACAAACCTTACTCTCACCCCTGCAGGCCTGAGCTCTAAGTGCAGGCTCTCCTAGCAGACTGATCCAGTATCTTGCACTTGGTTGGGATTCAGCCATGTGTTCAATTTGGACTCCAGTTACCTTCTGTGAGGTTTTGCAGACTGGTGCCAAAGTTCCCAGCACTATTCCTTTGGCCTGAGGTACGCCGAGGGGAAGGAAAGGTTCGATCAGAACCTAACTAGACCTGTCCTCTGTCCCCTACGTGTTCTACTTCCTACGTTTAGTTGGTTTTCTGGGTAAAGCTAATCTACCTCTAGAGTAATTTGAAGAAGTACTGTATCAGAGTATTTAGGGTAGCATCAAAGTCTAGAACCATGGCTAAGTGTCCCTAATGGTTTATTGACATCACATTATTACAGGGGTGAGGAACCTTTTTTCTGCCAAGGACCATTGGATATTTATAACATCATTCGCAAGCCATACAAAATTATCAGCCTAAAATTTAACCTGCTATATAGTTGTTGACTTTTGAGTTCCATCTGTTGCTGCCTCGGCAGGGAAAGACCAGATGGGCCAGACATTCCCCACTGCTTAGTGCCGTTGCATTCATTCAGTGTCAGAATGTCTTCCCTTATTAGCAGTGCATACTCGAGTGTACTGTGTGAACTTAGAATGAGCAGGCTTCTATCATTTCTTGCACATGGACCTGTGTCCCTGATGATTTGTCACTCTGGATTTCCACTGGCTAAACCGAACATATCTTAAAACTAATCAGAATGTTTGTACTATTAATGTATTACCTGGTTCCAGATTACTGCTACCCTTTAAATTAGTTTAAGCAAACTGCTGTGTGTATCTAGCCTACAGTGTTGCGACAGTCTTCTGGAATAAAATATTGTAGCAAGGGAAGGGAAGGCCAAGGCCTGACCCCTCTCTGAGTGGTTATTGGAAGCAAAGTGTAACACTGAACTCTTGGAATCTGTTCCCTAAACATAGGATCACTGGCAACACTTTAAGATTGTGACTCAGAATTAGACTGTCTGGCCACTATCCCATCTGATGGACCAACACTGTCTCCTTTTCTGTGTTGCTTTTTCGGTTCTAGTAGGCTCCAGAGTCAGGGAGACCATTTCTCACATGGCAAGGGCTCCTTGTAGCCCTAAACCTTTAAATATGCGCATTATCCTTCTGTGTTTACCCTAGAATTACCTTTATCCTTTCTGTGCCTACCCTAGAAATACCCTAGACTGGCTCTGTCTCAGCCCGTCACCTAATGTTGTTAGTTGAGAGAGAAACAGCTCCCCTCTGCTGGTTCACTCCCCCAAATTCCCGGGGGTCAGGAGGCACATTCTAGGTCTCCTGTGTAGATGGCAAGGACACAACTACTCAAGTCATCACCTGCTGCCTCCCAGGGTATGTATTAGCAGGAAGCTGGAATCAGGAGTGGGATTCTGGGTGCCAAATGCTCACCTATCTGCCTTTATTAAAGCTCCTATCAAATAAGCATAGGTCAAGGGTACTTCAGAATATTTAGGGAAAAAAATGGAAAAGATTTTGGTATAAAATATTATGAAATCATGTATTGTTTTTTCCTAACATACATTTTTGAAGACCTCTCCTGTATACATAGATTTTAAAAGCTTTTGGCACAAAATAAATACCTTTTAATTCCAATTTCCACAAAACTTTTTGAAGTACCCTCATAGGATTTTAATCCTACATGAAAGATCCAAGATACAGTCCACCTTGCAAATTTTTAGACCAGCTTTAATTCTAAATCCCCAACTCCCAATAAACCAAGCTCTTGGCTGTTGATTAAAAAAAAAAATACAGCTACTTGGTCTTACGTTTTTTATTTTGATTTTTGAGAGAGGGAGCACCTATCGGCTGTTTCACTCACCAAAGGCCCATGTAGGAGCCAAAGCATCCAGGAATGCTATCCACGTCTTCCATGTGGGTGGCAAGGACCTCACCGCTGGGTTTAAGAAGTGTTTAGAGGCCAGTGCTGCGGCTCACTTGGCTGATCCCCTGCCTGCAGCGCCGGCACCCCGGTTCTAGTCCCGGTCGGGGCGCCGGATTCTGTCCCGGTTGCTCCTCTTCCAGGCCAGCTCTCTGCTGTGGCCTGGGAAGGCAGTGGAGGATGGCCCAAGTACTTGGGCCCTGCACCTGCATGGGAAACCAGGAGGAAGCACCTGGCTCCTGGCTTCGGATCAGTGCAGCGCACCAGCTGTAGTGGCCATTTGAGGGTGAACTAGTGGAAAAGGAAGACCTTTCTCTCTGTCTCTAACTCTGCCTGTCAAAAAAAATTTTAAAGAAAGAAGTGTTTAGAGGGTTTTTGCTGTGGTGTAGCAAGTTAAACTGCCACCTGCATGCACCACTTGGCAGCCCACGTGGGTGCCAATTCAAGTTCCAGCTCCTCCACTTCTGATCCAGCTCCCTGCTAATGTGCTGGGAAAGCAGCAGAAGATGGCCCAAATACTTGGGCCCCTGCACCCAATGGGAGACCTGGATGGAATTCTAGACTTCTGGCCTAGTCCTGGCTGTTGCAGCCATTTGGGGAGTACACTAGCAGATGGAAAACTTCTCAGTCTCTCCCTAACTCTGCCTTTAAAATAAATCTTTTTTAAAAGAAGTGTTTAGGGGTGTCCTTGAGACCATTGGGAGAGTGAAGCAGTGGCTGTAAGATCTCTCCCTGTGTGCCTTCAAGTAAATCAATATATTTTTAAAAAAATATTTGGGGCTGGTGCTGTGGTGTAGCAGGTTAAGCCACTGTCTGCAGCGCTGGCATCCCGCAGTAGAGTGCCTTTTCAAGTCCCAGCTGCTCCACTCCCCATCTAGCCCCTTGCTAATGCAGCTGGGAAAGCAGCAGAGGATGGCCCAAGTGCTTGGGGCCCTGCAGCCATTTGGGGAATGAATCAGCAAATGGAAAGTCTCTCTCTACCATTCAAATAAAATAAATCTTTAAAAATAAAGTGTTTAAGTAGGGATGGGTGCTGTGGCACAGTGGGTTAAGCTGCTGCTTAGAACACCTGCATCACATATCAAAGTGCTAGTATGAATCCTGGTTTCTCTGCTTCTGATCCAGCTTCCTGCTAATGTGCCAGAGAAGTCAGCAGATGATGGCCCATCCACCTGGGTCCCTGCCTCCCATGTTGGGGACCCAGATGGAATTCTATTCCTGGTTTAGGCCTGGCCAAGTCCCAACTGTTGTGACCATTTGGGGAGTGAACCAGCAGCTGGAAGATATCTGTCACTCACCTTTCAAATCAGTAATCTTAAAGTGTTCAAGTAGACATAGGAGTTTTTGGTATAGCTCAGATTCAAACACGACTCTAAATATGTCCTTTATTAGGCTGGCCTTAGGATTTTTATCTATAAAAGCTCAAGAAAAACAAAAGTCTGCAGTGGCACGGAGTGTTAGAAAAGATCGCCTGCAGCTGGGAGACTTCAGCACATTTACATCACAGTTACTAGGCTTCAGACTTAGTTGCTACATACCTGTATTATGTATTTCCTCAGAAATGTACATGCCTTCTCGATAGGTCAGCCCCCCCACAACAGGGGTTCCTGTGGCCGGCGCCAGTGTAGGGTCAAATGCATCAATATCAAAACTCAGGTGGATTGGCCTTTGTCTTCTGGAAAAGAGGAGGATATGAGAATACTTCAGTTGTGCTTGGATGCATATTCTTCCCATGGCTTCAGCGCCTTACGTTTGTTGCTGTTGGTCCTGGTACTTTGCTGCTATTACAGCTTATTTCCAGGTTTCCTATTAATTATGGCCATTATTAATTATTAATATTCCTATTACTGTCATATTTGCTTCTGTATACCACTTTGTGATGCTGTTTCACATGCCTCAAACTGTATATTTCTGGCTTACCCTGGGCATTGGAACCTTTTACATTAATAACTGTCAGGAGAAAGAATTCCTCACTTCCATGTTTCACTGGGGCCTGACACATTCTAATTTAAGTTGGCTTGATCTAGGTTCTAGTTGCAGTTATTCTCTAATATAACAGGAGCTGGACTTAATTCTGATTTTATGTCTGCATCTTATCTTCCGAGTTAAGTTTAACCCAGGTTTCCAGTGGCTGAAACTAGCATCTCCATGCCAAGTAACTTGATTTGTTAACAGCTTAATTAAGAAATGACATACTAACAGATGACAGTTCTGACATTGATCACCCAGAAGCAGAGACTGAAGCTTTTTTTTTAGCATTCATTTGCCATCTTTCTATGCTACCAGGATTTACTTGATATAAAAACTCAAATGAAGCAATAGCAAGACTATAGGAATGGGACAGCTGGACCGACATCAAAAGATAAGCTTTACAGTGGAGATAAAAAGAAACGCCTGAGAGACAGAGGATCCCGTCAGCAGCTGAAAGGAAACCACTCCCCATAGCCCAGGAGGAAGAATGACCCGAGTTTCACATTCTGCCTTTCTGAACTACCTGAAGTTTTTCTATATACATGTTCAGAGCTGTTCTCAAGGACAGGCTAAAGTGTACTGCCTATTGGGAGTTTGCCCCATTGCCCTTTGGGATGGAGAAGTAGACATCCACTGTAGTTACTTACTTGCCAATCAGGAGATCAAACGTCTGTTCCATGACCTTCTGGATACCAAGCCGATCGATGTCCCTCATGGAAAAATACTGGATATCATACTTCTTTAAAATAAAACTGTGGTGAGAGATGAAGGAAGAGTCCTTAGCTTAAATAGCACTTCTTTTTTAAAAAATTTATTTATTTAAAGGCAGAATGACAGAGAGGGAGAGGCAGAAATGTCTTCCATTCACTCTCTAGATGCTCACAACAGCCAGAAGTAGGCCAGGCTGAAGCCAGGACCTCTGAGTCTCCCAGTAGATGGCAGAACCCGAGTACTTGGGCCATCATCTACTGCTTCGCAGGCACGTTAGCAGAAAGCTGGATCAGAGGCCTGTGCAAGTAGCTGGGAAGGGAACTAGGCCCTCCAGTATGCAACGCAGAGTCCCAAGCAGCAGCCCAACCTGCTGCGCCCCAGCACTTGGCCCCCTTAAAAAGCATTTGTGACAAATGTATATTCAGGAGAAATTTACCTTTATAGTGACTTACAGCCATTAAGTTAGGCATTAAAGTATGTTCCTTTCAAACAGGAGCATAAGTAGCTAGTATAGACAGACCCAAGGCTCAATCCTAAGGCAGCAACTTACTGTTCAGGCGGATCCACGTCTCTTAAACCGATATACACAATACTTGGAGAAGAGATACAAGGTTTGATCCAGGAAAATCCTGGGAGTTGTGGTACCTATGAAGAGGGGAATGAGTAAGATTAATCAAGAATCCTTAGGTGTGAATTCTTCCCAGGGTATACAGTCTGCACTCATCTCATCCACAGGATGTGTCCAAGGAAAACACTTGATTTGGGAATGACAGGAGTGGAAATATTCCCAAAGGGCAGCTTTCTCTAGAAGAATAAAACTCTGTCCTGAGGTTGTCTCGCTTTCCCATTAAGTAACCTAAATAGCATGAGTACTGCTGCATACCCCTTCTCCATCCTTGTGAACGTTATTGAGTTGTCTAATTCAGTTGCCACCTCAAACTGCCAACTCCCAAATCACAAATTTGTATGGTCCTAGTGCAGATTTTAGTCTGTGCCTAGCATGGATTTCCAGTATATTCCAAACAGCTCAGGAAAACACTACCCACAGGCAGTCCTGATCTTACTTGTCTTTTAGACCCAGCTGTCTGACATGGTGGCCCGGAGCTCTAGCCAGGAAGTCCTGTGGATGTACCTATCACTACAGCTACTATCAGCTACTATCTTCTACTGCCTTACTTTCTTACAGGATACTGAGTCCCCTAAGAACAGGGGCCCTGTCCTCGTTATCTTATGCCCCTAGCATCTAGCAGACTGCCTGGCCCTTAATAGCATTTAATGACCAATGAAGGAACGGTGAGCAACACTCAACCCACCCTTCACCAAAGTCTCCCTGAACTAGACCCCCAGAGGCCCAGGACAACCCTGTACGTCATTCACCTTGCTTTTTATTTCAGCCCACTCACCTTGTCCTGTAGTTCTCGTAGGAGAAATGACACTGGCTGGCCATGGAGGTTTCCCGACGAGGTGGTGAGGGGTGTATTGATGTCAGCATGGGCATCAACCCAGACAACACAAAGGTCTGGGCAGTGCCGGGCGTGGCCACTAATGGTGCCAATTGCCAGGCTGTAAAGAACAAATACAGTCTTCAAGGTCCTCCACTTGGCAAACATCAGCAGTACACAGCTTACACTCTGTCCTTAGGGCAAAGTCGGGGTCTGCACTGAGGCTGGGTTTGGGTGAGACAAAAGTCCTGGGGGTGTAGTTCCCAAAGGTTAACCCTGAGCAAGTTTGAGGGCACAAGATGTACAGCTCTTAAGATTCAGAGCTGACTGATGCTTGCCCTGCAGTGCGCCTGACACATGCGAGTGCTGCCTCTAGATCTTTCTACTGTCATCCATTAGCCCTGTCCTAGAAAAGGAACCAAGCATTTGTTCAGTGAATGAAGTCCAGTTAAATGATGTGGTCTAGAAGTAGCAACTCAACAACAGCAAAAATGAGTGCTTAAAGCATGTTGGAGGGTGGGGTGGGGAGGCAGCATTGTAGCACAGTGGGTCAGGCTGGTGCGTGGACAGCGGCATCCCGTATCAGAGAGCTGGTTGAGTCCTGGTTGCTTCCAATCCAGCTCCCTGCTAATGTGCCTGGGAAAGCAGTGGAAGATGTTCCGACTACCCAGACCCCTGCCACCCACATTGGAGACCAGATGGAGTTCTTGGCTCCTGGCTTCAAAAGCCTGGCTCAGCTCCAACGCATGTGGCCAACTGGGGAGTGAACCAGCAGATCGAAGTTCTGTCTCCCTGTCACTCTGCCTTTCAAATAAAATGAGGCTTTAAAACAAAATTATTTGAAAGTTACAGAGAGAGGGAGAGACAGATACTTTCTTTCTGCTGGTGTACTCCCAAAATGGCTGCAATGGCCAGGGCTGAACCAGGCTGAAGCCAGTAGCCAGGAGCTACTCCCACATGGGTGGCAGGGGCTCAGGAACTTGGGCCCTCTTCTGCTGCTTTCCCAGGCACAGTAGCAGGGAGCTGGATCAGAAGTAAAGCAGCCAAGACACGAACTGGCACCCATTTGGATGCTGGCACCATGGACCACAGCTGAACCCACTGCACCACATTGCTGGCCCCTAAAAATGAGGAGTCTTACAACATATTAAGGGAGACCTGGAAGACCTACCTTACTAACAATGAATTATATTCACTTTTTAAGGATAAAAATAGAAAGCATTACAGGTTTTAGGGAAGCTTCTATGTGATACTTCTTAAACCTGAAATGGCTTGTAAAGATATGAAAGCAACAGGACAACTCAATTAAAGATTACTTAGACCACTGAATAACAAGTTTATTTGGTTGCGTATTAGCATTAACATTCAAACATCTTTTAAGTGTCTGTTTTTGCCTTTCTTTGTCCTTGAATTCCGGTCTACATTAGCAAGCTGTCCATCTTCCTAGTAACCAAGGAATTAGATTGCTGTGATTTGGTTCCTGAAGTCTTACAGATATTTGAACCCCAAAGTCCTAAAATAATGGGAGGAAGGTAGTGATGTTGAACCCTATTGTGCTGTTTAGGAGGTACGCCTAGTAGCGGGGTCCTTCAGTCATGGGGGTTTGCCCTCAGAAGATAATTCACACAAGAAGGTTATTATCGGAGCCTGAGCTTGGCTCCGCCTCCTTGCTTCCTGGGTCACCATTGTGACGCTTCCTCTGTGCGAGCTCTGCCATCACTGTCTGCTGCCGGGTACCCGACCAATGGGGCCACCTTATCTTGCACTTCAAGCTCCCAAAATTGTGAGATAAATAAATCTTCTCTTTATAGTTAGTTGCCTGAGGTATTGTAACAGAAGCTAATACATGGGACGTGGGTAAGAAATGTAGCTTAAGCAACTTAGGAACTAACTGCAACCATCCGTCTTGGTCCATAGAGCATGAGGTAGCACTTTAGGATCCATGCCCCCCACACTGGGCCTTTTTCAGGGGTACTACCATCTAACACTAAAGGCAGTGGATTGGAGTTTTGGTCCAGGAAGAGCTGTGTGATAAAAGACGCTGAATTCCTCTGGATTTCAGTTTCCCCTTCTGTAAGGTAGGGAAATAAAACTTTTAGCCTGATAAAGTCAGAGCTCGTTTGATGATTAAGGTGACAGTATATACTTACTACGTTAAAGAAGCAGTAACCTACAAATGTCTTCCTTTAAAATGTTTAACAGTTGTTCAAGTTATATACTTACCCCTTTCTCTTTAGAATCTTCAATTGCCTAATTTTTAGCATTGAATAGGAAATAAGCAAATAGTAACATAGTGTATTGGTCAGCTTAATTAAATCCCTGACACAGACAGGCTACTTATGAAGGAAGGAGGTTTGTTTTGGTTCATAGTTTGAGGTTGACAGTCCAAGATTGAGTATCCCATTGGGCATCCCATTGGGCTGACACCTGTTGAGGGTAGTAACTGGCAGAATGTATGCAGAGTAAGGAATACATGATCAACCAGGAAGTAGAGAGGGACCAAGTGTCTTCTTGCTGTGTCTGTGTGTGTGATCTCCTTGAAAAGCACCATGACTCGATCCACTGGGGCTGTGCTCGGTTTATCCTAGTTCAATCTAGTCACTTCCCAAAGGCCCTACCCTTATTTGAATTTAAGTTTCCACCCCAGTACCAGTACCATAAGATGTCGGGGGCCTGGCCTTTAACACATGGGCCTTTGAGGCACACTCAGTTATCCAATCTAGAGCACATGGCTACAGTACAGATAGCTGCAGGCAAAAAAAGAACCAAGGCCTGGGAATCACATTGCTGAGAGAAGCCCAGGTGACGAGACTGGATCAGAAGAAAGACTGTGTAAACTTCCAGAGACAGTAATACTGCAGCCGGGTCTGAGCGCTCTTAGTGTGCCTGATTTGTATTCCTGATGAGGAATCCACCTGCCTCTCCAGTTCTAACAAGGATTTGACTTCTATTTAGAGATCTGGAAACCTCTGAGAACTTCAGTGGAAACTGCTAAATTGGATCTGGAAAAGGAAGCTAATTGCCATGGGGGACACTTTGGATTTGAATTCCCCACTTTGCTACTTCCTGGCTGTAGGCCCTGGATAAGTTATCTAACGAACGTATTAAATAAAACCACATCGGCCGGCGCCGCGGCTCACTAGGCTAATCCTCCGCCTAGCGGCGCCGGCACACCGGGTTCTAGTCCCGGTCGGGGCGCTGGATTCTGTCCCGGTTGCCCCTCTTCCAGGCCAGCTCTCTGCTGTGGCCAGGGAGTGCAGTGGAGGATGGCCCAGGTGCTTGGGCCCTGTACCCCATGGGAGACCAGGAAAAGCACCTGGCTCCTGGCTCCTGCCATCGGACCAGCGCGGTGCGCCGGCCGCAGCGCGCCGGCCGCGGTGGCCATTGGAGGGTGAACCAACAGTAAAGGAAGACCTTTCTCTCTGTCTCTCTCTCTCACTGTCCACTCTGCCTGTCAAAAAAAAAAAAAAAAACCACATCTACCTCGTGGCATTGTTAGGATGATAATAAAATATGTAAGAAGTACTCATTACTTCAGTGCCTCTTCTACCAGAAATCTTCACCACGTGGCTCAGATCACACTCCCCTGTGAAGTCTTACTGATCCCTTCTCAAATTCTGTAGAACTCGGTATTAGGGATTTTTTTCCCCCTCATTGCATATGGACTTATTTCATCTAGTTCTAACAGATCATAGTTTCCCACATCCCTAGTACTGTTGAGAAAACAGAACAGTGCTTGATAAAGTACACACTGATCGACTAAGAGACCAGGAGCGCAGGATTGCATTAGGCACCTAGGAGACACTGTGGAGGTAGAAATTCCTTTTACACGCCAAGAGGGAATCTTTAACAGACTAATCTGCAGAAATGCCAACAAAATGCCTGCACTCAGCCTGCTGATGGCTACTGCCAAGCTTTCAGAGTGCTGGGTGAAAGTCCTAAGAAACCTTTCCACTAGGTAAGCACCAAGACAGCACCTACAAACCTTGCTCAGCCACCCCTGCACTTAGTATGTGCAGACATACACATCTTGCTGTGGATACAACATGTTGTATAGGGAAAACCACTGTGTCTCAGTAGCGCATCACCTTGGGCATAAAAATACTATTACTGGGGGTCATTGTGGTACAGCAGGTTAAGATGCTACTTGGAACACTGGCATCCAATATCATTGTATGTGGTTTGAGTCCCAGTTAATTCTGTGCTTCTGGTACAGGTTCCTGCTAATGTGCCCGAGAGGCACCGGATGATGGCCTAAGCATATGGGTTCCTGCCACCCACATGGGAGACTCTGATGGAATTCCTGGCTCCCTGGCTTTTGCCTGTCCTGTCCCTGGCTATTACAGGCATTTGGGGGGTAAAGCAGCAGATACAAGATATGTTTGTCTCCTTCCCTCTCTCTGCCACTCTGCCTTTCAAATAAAAATTGTTTTAAAAACAAATGCTGGGCGGCGCCGCGGCTCAATAGGCTAATCCTCCACCTTGCGGCGCCAGCACAACGGCTTCCAGTCCCGGTCGGGGCGCCGGATTCTGTCCCGGTTGCCCCTCTTTCAGGCCAGCTCTCTGCTGTGGCCAGGGAGTGCAGTGGAGGATGGCCCAAGTGCTTGGGCCCTGCACCCCATGGGAGACCAGGAGAAGCACCTGGCTTCTGCCTTCGGATCAGTGCGGTGTGCCGGTAGCCACGCGCCGGCCATTGGAGGGTGAACCAATGGCAAAAGGAAGACCTTTCTCTCTGTCTCTCTCTCTCTCACTGTCCACTCTGCCTGTCAAAAAAAAAAAAAAAAAAAGCTACTATAGGGGTAAGCATTTGGCCTAGTGGTTAAGACCAGTAAGGATGCCCACCCCCATATCAGAGTTCCTGGATTTGCTAACTGTCTCTGATCCAGACTCCACTTCCTGCTAATGCAGACTGAGAGGTGGCCATAATGGCTGAAGTAGTTGAGCACCTGTCACCTCCATGAGACACCGGATTAAATTCACGGGCCCAGCCTCATCCCAGCCAAGCCCCAGAGCAGTTGTAGGTACTTAGAGTGATTCAGCAGATCAGAGCTCCCCATTTGTCTCTCTTTCAAAGCAGATTTTTTTTTTTTAAGATTTAATCATTTGAAAGGCAGAGTTACAGAGAGACAGAGGCAGAGAGAAAGGTCTTCCATCCACTGATTCACTCCCCAAAAGGCTGCAATGGTTGGAGCTGGGCCAATCTGAAGCCAGGAGCCTGGAGCTTCCCCCAGGTCTCTCACTCCGGTGCAGGGGCCGAAACACTTGGGCCATCTTCTGCTGCCTTCCCAGGCCATAGCAGAGAGCTGGATCAGAAGTGGAGCAGCCGGGACTTGAACTGGTGGCCATATGGGATGCCAGCACTGCAAGCAGCAGCTTTACCTGCTACACCACAATGCCAGCTCCTCAAAGTAGTTTTAAAAAAATGCTATCACGGGCCGGTGCCGTGGCTCACTAGGCTAATCCTCCGCCTGCGGCGCCGGCACACCAGGTTCTAGTCCCGGTCAGGGCGCCGGATTCTGTCCCAATTGCCCCTCTTCCAGGCCAGCTCTCTGCTGTGGCCCGGGAGTGTAGTGGAGGATGGCCCAAGTGCTTGGGCCTTGCACCCACATGGGAGACCAGGATAAGCGCCTGGCTCCTGCCATCGGATCAGTGCAGTGCGCCAGCCGCAGTGCGCTGGCCACGGCAGCCATTGGAGGGTGAACCAACGGCAAAGGAAGACCTTTCTCTCTGTCTTTCTCTCTCTCACTGTCCACTCTGCCTGTCAAAAAAAAAAAAAAAAAATGCTATCACACGGGTTAAGCCACTGCTTGTGGTCACTAATGTTTCTGGAAAAGCAGTGGAAGATGGTCCAAGTAGTTGAAACCCCTGCCACCCATGTGGGAGACCTGGATGGAGTTCCTGGCTCCTGGCTGCAGCCTGATCCAGGCATGGTATTACAGCCATCTGGGGAGTGAGCTAGTGGATGGAAGGTCTGCTTCTTCTCCCCTCCCTTGCTCTGCCTTTCAAACAAATTTTTTTCAAAATGCTATTATATACTTGTACATCATACCCTAAGCTTTCTACGGGGTATTTCCTCCACGTGAAGAAACAGCTAAAGGATCTGAGGGACAGTCAAAGCATCTTGTGAGCCAGCCCTCCACTAGCCCAGGCTCCCAGCTTACCTGTGATCGCCTCCCACAGTGACACAGCTGTAGCCACCAGACACCGCTCTGTTAACCACCTCAGCCAGCTCCTGGTTGGCAAGGCCCACCGAGCGTGGATTCACTATCAGGTTGTTATAGAGATCATCTTTGGGGACTGGAGTGAAACTCAAATCTCCATAGTCTTTTAGACGGCAGCCTGAAAACAAACGAGGAAAGATGAATTGTATGTGCTATTCCAACTGTGACAGGCCTGGGCCATGAGTAGTCACTTGTGGCAAAGCGTAGGACAGACTTGTTTTGTAATGAATGTCCCTGACGGCGGCAGGATCATCTGGATCCTCCCAGTGATCCCTAGAGGTAGATCCTGTTGTGAACACATTTTGCAAAAGAACCTAGGCTTTCGAAAGTGAATCCAGAGATTTTAATTGACTTAGCCAACAGTCATGAAATCAGTAGCAGTTGGACTTCAAATACCCCAGAGTTATACAGTGGAAGTAAAATACCAAGAGGAAACAGGACTTGAAGAATTTACTATGGACTTACTATGAAAACACAAATTCTTATACACTGTTTCTTAAATAAAAAGTAAATCTGAGAACCTAAAGCATTGTAGAAGAGAACTACATAATCCAAAGCACTATTCTATTCAACAGATTTTTTTTTTAAAGATTATTTATTTGAAAGGTAGAGTTACACAGAGGCAGAGAGAGAGAAAAAGGTCTTCCATCTGCTGGTTCACTCCTCAGATGGCCTCACAGCTGGAGCTTCTTCCAGGTCTCCCATGCGGGTTCAGGGGCCAAGCACTTGGGCCACCTTCTGCTGCTTTCCTAGGCCATAGCAGAGAGCTGGATCGGAAGTGGAACAGCCAGGACTCGAACCGATACCCATAAGGGATGCCCGCACTGCAGGTGGTGGCTTTACCCACTATGCCACAGCACCAGCCCCCCAACAAACTCTTATTCATCTTATGGACAGTTGTATAAGGCACTAAAATATGCCTATTCGTAAATGAGAAAATTGAAGGTCACACAGAGCTGCTAGGTGCCAGAACAGGGATCTAAACCTAGGCCAGCTGGCTTCAGAGTTTGTATTTACTATATTTTGTCTCCCAAAGAATCCCTCCTGATTCCAGCACATTATGAACTAATAAGTATTCTGAGAGCTTTGAATATTTTCCTACCCAGTTTGGCTGCTACTTTTAGGTATAAGTATAAATAACTCAGCTGTATCAAAAAGGGATTTGAATTATCAGGAAATGTTATCATTGATTATATCCCTAGCTTTTGCAGTATAGCTTATGCCACTGCACAATGAGTTTTAAATTTCAAATGCTATAATCATTCACTTTTCTCAAAAGAATAAAATTCTAAAAACAATACTTCAGAGTAGTAGGTGGTATATTTATTGCTCAGTTAAAATTTTTATGGGTGTCCTTATATAGATATAGGAAGGATGGGACATAATGGGTTAAAACCAGCATGGGACTCATCATGAATTTAAATCAGACTGACCTAACTCTTGAACCCAAACTGAGTCCAGAACCAAACTTCTAAAGGAATGTGACAAATTGAGAAGCAATAATAAGGAACATAAACCCAAGCAGGTGACTGCTACCAAAAGGAATTTTAGAAGCAAAATAGAAACGCTTATCCTGTTCTTGACTGAAGGAAGGACGCACCTATAGCTACAGTCTTTGTCAGTGCATTGTAAGAAATAATCATATGGAAGGAAGGCCCCAAACCAGAAAAGATCCCGAGAACTAAAATAAGAAGGGGGGTGGGAGGGAAGAGGTGGGAGAATATGACAACAGGCCAAAGACATGGGGTACCAAGAGAAAAATGACCAAATAAAACATCTATAAAATATTCTTAAGACATTAAAAAAGGTGTAAGTCATTATAGACTTCACCAGTCTTAAAATCTGGGAGGATGCCGGCGCCGCGGCTCACTAGGCTAATCCTCCGCCTTGCGACACCGACACACCGGGTCCTAGTCCCGGTCGGGGCGCCGGATTCTGTCCCCGTTGCCCCTCTTCCAGGCCAGCTCTCTGCTGTGGCCAGGGAGTGCAGTGGAGGATGGCCCAAGTGCTTGGGCCCTGCACCCCATGGGAGACCAGGATAAGTACCTGGCTCCTGCCATCGGATCAGCGTGGTGCGCTGCCCACAGCGCACCGGCCGCGGCGGCCATTGGAGGGTGTAGATTCTCTAAGGAGAGTCCTCTGTGGAAGAAAGATTATTGGTTTTGTGAAAAGAGTAGCATATCTGTTTTCTTGGGATTTGAGCCTTTATCCCTGCTACATGAAAATCATCAACTCCAGAAGCTTTAACTTCAAGTCACTATCATGTCTTGCTTCTGTTGACGGCACGCTCCTGGACTGGACAGTCTTGCCCAGTGGAGCTCATCCCAGGGCGTTCCTGCTTCCACAGTTATCAGCAGTCTCCTTAGACCAGATCCAGCCTGAGTCTTACTAGATAGAAGACACCAGAGCATGTCTGCGGTGTTGTCACATTTTTAGATCTACAGTCATAAAAGATTTTATAATCTAATAATGTTAATATTAACTTTTCAGAACCACTTTCCAGGTACTTGAACTTGCCAAACCACACATGACCAATAAGAAATGCAGGGAAATTAAAGTGATAAGATAAGTACTAGAACTTGGGGAACACTCAAGTCCAATCACAGATACTAAGATATAAACTCTGATAAGTAAAAAACAAGTTAGCAGAGTACCATCTTCTGTCACACTTATCAGAAGAAAACTGCACAAAGCCTAAAAAGGAGTCTCCAGAGATTTGGTCGTCTCATGGTCAAAGGATTTTGGTCAGTAAATGTGCAACCCTTCCTTGCGGTTGTTCACCAAATGAATCACAGCTTGGATGGTGATTCCCCCAAGATTATCCAACCCCATTTGCTCTGGTTCCTTCTCACCATCACCACACAGCCTCTGGTTATTCGCTTTATTTCCCAGATGCCTTCATACCAACCAGAGCTTCCAGCCCATGGGTGCTAGAAGAACTATTTGCTGCACATAGCTATGCACGGGCACTTGGGTTTATGCAGCATGGTCAGCGTGAGCCTCGGGCTCTGCACACCTGGCGACCCCTGCACACAGCAAGCCTTGTGTTTCTGGATCTGCAGAGCTGAGGGATTATCTTGACAGGCCTGGCCGAGCAGCCCACCCTACAGGACTCCATCTGTCCTGCAACTGCCATAATTTTAAGTGTCAGGTGACGACTCCTACAGCAAGCTAAGTTTATTATCAGGGCTGTTTTGCTGTTTCCCACCCTCGTTACTAGCAACAGGAATTATTTGTGAAACTGAATATGTAATGGTGGAAAGCCCTGTCCTGCTCCCCATACACTACTCTCTCAGACTTTTATGTGTAAACACGACACATGACGAACGGCACCCCCACCCCAAAGTCGACTCAAACACTGTTTCCTGTTCATCGAACACCCAGGGCAGGGATTCCAGCTCAGCAGGGAGCTTTGGTGATTAGGGCTTTGTGGCTAAGGCCAGGTCTTCCCAGGTGCTAAGCAGCAGAGGGGAAGAAAGCATTGGTGGCCTGAGGTGGCACATTGCCCCTGCTCATGTGGCACTGGCCAGCAAATGCAAATCTAGCTTATGTCCAGAAGAGGCAGAATGTGGATTTTGGTGGATAGGCAAAAACTCTGGCCCATCGAGGACTGTTTAATTCTAATGCTGTAACCCTTTAAGTAATTAACAACTCAAAACACTGAGACCTTGGTTGCTCCAGGATTACCAGTGTTTACTATTTTTTAACTGTTCTAGTTCATTACAGAGCTGAATTGCCAAATACATTATACCATCATGATGTAGCTCTCAGGAGTTTGCTCCACCAGTGCTAACTGTGCCAACAGCATTGAGATACCCATAAGACTAGAGTTGGCCAACTTAATAGGAATGAAAAGTTTGAGTATTGGAGGAGTGGGCCTTTGCCAGAGCTGTCACAACGCCACTTGGGAAGCCCACACCTCATAGCAGAGTGCCTGGGTCTGAGCTCCAGTTCTGCTCCCAATTCCAGTTTCCTATCAGTACAAACCCTGGGAGGCAACAAGTGATGGTTCAAGTGGTTGGGTCCCTGCCACCCACACAGGAGACCTGGATTGAGTTCCCGGCTTCTGGCCCAGCCCCACTCTGAGCATTTGAGGAGTAAGCTCACTCCTTTCTCTCTCTCTCCCTCTTAGATAAGATTTTTTTTAATTATTTATTTATTTATTTTTGACAGAGTGGACAGCGAGAGAGACAGACAGAGAGAAAGGTCTTCCTTTTTCCATTGGTTCACCCCCCAATGGCCGCTGTGGCCGGCACTCTGCGCTGATCCGAATCCAGGAGCCAGGTGCTTCTCCTGGTCTCCCATGCGAGTGCAGGGCCCAAGCACTTGGGCCATCCTCCACTGTGCTCCCGGGCCACAGCAGAGAGCTGGACTGGAAGAGGAGCAACTTGGACAGAATCTGGCACCCCAACCAGGACTAGAACCCAGGTTGCCGGTGCTGCAGGCGGAGGACTAGCCTATTGAGCCGGCCAATAAAATGTTTTAATATTAGAACAATGTGATATAAGGTTGCTGAGAACACGAGTTGTAACCAATAGGCTAGTTTTTTGAGTAGGGAGGTTGATGGGAGGTTAATTTTTTCTAAGAGTAGGATGAACTGAGTAATGTTAAAGGTAGTGATTTGGGGCCAGTGCTGTGGCATCGCGGGTAAAGCTGTTGCCTGCAGTGCTGGCATCTCATATGGGCGCTGGTTGGAGTCCCAGCTGCTCCACTTCCAATCCAGCTCTCTGCTGTGGCCTGGAAAAGCAGTAGAAGACGGCCCAAGTACATGGGCCCCTGCACCCGCGTCAGAGACCGAGAAGAAGCTCCTGGCTCCTGGCTTCGGATCGGCACAGCTCCAGCTGTAGTGGCCCACTGGGGAGTGAACCAGCAGATGGACCTCTTTGTCTCTGCCTTTGCTTCTCTCTGTGTATCTCTGACTTTCAAATAAATAAATAAATCTTTTCTTAAAAAAAAAAAAAAGGTATTGGTTTATCAGAGTGCTGGTGATGTGGGCAGGCAAGGAGCAGAGAGCAGAGGAGCTGGGAGACGGCAGCAGGCTCTGTGCTGCAGCCCAGCACTGCACCCACGCCACCCACTTCATGCTGATGCAACACAGCTGCAGGCTCAGCACACCCA